GGCTTTTGCCTTTCATATAAGCCACTTCTGATATCAAATGATCAACTAGAAGTCAAGTTATTATTTGTTGTTACTAAAACTTGGATAGGCGACAAGACTTTTGTCAGGTAGTGTACAGTGGGGCATAGGTTGTCAGTCTTGCTAAGAGTTCAGTGTTACAATATCCCTTGGGATAAAGGCAACTTCACTGTAACTGTACAAACTGTTAAATGTTTCCTGGATGCAGATTACACCAGAATGTGCAATAGGCACATAGTTGGTCAGTTCACCCAAAGTGTTGCAGTGGATTGGAACTGAATTTGAATCTGAAATAAAGGTACCTTCACTATAGATTTTATTTTCATACAATGTTAAAAAACACTTTAAAAAAATTGTTTTCTGCCATTGTATAAAGAGTAACAAAGCGGACAACCGGTGAAATCCACCAGTTAGCACTGTGACTTTACAGCAAGAAAGTCACTGGTTTGAGTCCCGGCTAAATCAGTTGGCATTTTTGTGTGGAGTTTGCATGTTCTCCTTATGTTTGTGTGGATTTCTTCTGTGTGCTCCGGTTTCCCCCACAAGTTCAAACATATGCAGTAAAGGTGAATTAGGTAAACAAAAATTGTCCGTAGAGCACAAACTCAGTTCCTGGAGGGCTGCAGCTCTGCACAGTTTAGCTCCAACCCTAATTAAACACACCTTTAGGCTTGTTTGAAACCTACAGGTAAGTGTATTGAAGCAGAGTTGGAAGTAAATTGATCAGGGCTGCGGCCCTCCAGGAACTGAGTTAGACACTTCTGCTGTAGAGTATGAATTTGAATGAGAGAGGGTACAGGTGTTTCCCAGTTCCGGAATTCGACTAGAAGGGCATCCGACGCAAAAAAACATATGCCAGAGTAATTGTCTGTTCATTTGGCTGTGGTGAGCCTTGATTAATCAGGGACTAAGATAAGGAATAATGAGTGAGTAAAAAACATGGCAGATGAGGGATGTAGGGGGGAAGTGGAATGGCTAAGGTAATAGTTCACAAATAATTTAAAAGCATCCACATCAATCTCAACTGTGTGCTTAGACAAACAAAAAGTATGCAAATATGGATGAAAAGGCGGCAACACCAAAATCTCTTTTAACTTTTGGAGCTTTTGCTGTTGTCGTCTTCTCATACATATTAACGTAATAGTCTCTTACACTCATAGAAATGAAGGTACACGAGTTGTCACTGGGGTGGTACCTTTTCAAAAGGTACAAATTTGTACCTAAAAGGTCCATATTAATGCCTCAAGGACAAATATTAGTACCTAAAAAGTACAAAAGTGTTCCTCTTAATTTTTTTAAGGTACTAATATATTCTTTTGAGGTACCAATATGGACTCTTTAAGTACAAATGTGTACCTTTTATAAAGGTACCACCCCAGTGACAACTTGTGTAACTTTATTTCTGAAAATGTACCATCTGCAGTCAAGGGTGCTGTGAACACCAAATGTTGTGTTTTGAGGTGACATCTGGAGGAGGTGGTGATCACAGTTTCAGTGAATGGGGAATGGTCACATTTAGTGATTCGACTCACTGATCTAGTCGATCAATTGTTTGTGTTAGTTGGAGAGGAGCAAAATATTTGAATGACCTTGCATGTATTTAGGCCTTTTTACATATAAGAACTGAAAGTTCTGTGTTTTTGACAATCTTGCATTCATTAAAACTTGGCTGAAAATAATAAATACATAAAAAACTTAAAAATGTTATTTTTTAAAATGAATATTTAACAATAACTTCTTTTTATTTACTTATACAATAAACAGTACTTTATAGACCTAATTCCTTTCAGTAAAGATTTAATGTATTTTATAGGTTTGCATTTTAACATCTTGTCACCGACTCGGTCCCAGTCATTCCCCTGGCTGGCCAGCAGAGGTCATCATCACCGGACATCTCAGCATTACGTCATCCACTTACACTGACAAGCATGCACACCTGCAGCTCATCCAGTTAATGACCCACGCTCACACATATAAGCAGCACACACACTCACTCATTGCGAAGTCTTGTTCTGCCCCGGCTAACACTATTGAGGGTTTCTCCTTCTTGCCTGCTTCCCCGTTGTGCCCTTGCTTCGATTATTCACTCAGTCCTGCCTGCCGCCTGCCTTGTACCTTTGCCTGAACCCCGACTCTGATCCTTGCCGCCTGCCTTGAACTCTAGCCTGAACACTGACCTCGATACTAGCTGCCTGCCTCTGACCCATGCCTGCTTACTCATCCTGTGTTTGCCTGCCGCTACGACAATATACTACTGTGTTTGTAGTTCGCACATGCATAACATGTGTGCTGTTTATTAAATTGTGTTTAATAAAAATACTGCAAATGGATCCCTCTGTGTCAGCCACTTCGTTGCACATGCTTCAAATAAGTGCTCCAAACTTTGTCTTGATTGAGACCTGTTAGATTCTTCTTTCATCATTTGCAATGTTTCCAAATTGCACTGTTAGTCTTTGAATTATAATTACTTATAATTCATTCTTTTTCTTTTCGGCTTAGTCCCTTCATTAATCTGGGGTCGCCACAGCGGAATGAACCGCCTGCCAACTTATTCAGCATATGTTTTACACAGCGGATGCCCTTCCGGACACAACCCATCACTGGGAAACATCCAAACATACACACACACACACACTACGGTCACACGTCTTTGGACTTGTGACACACGAATACGGGGAGAACATGCAAACTCCGCACAGAAACGCTAACTGACCCAGACGAGGCTCGAACCAGCAATCTTCTTGCTGTAAGGCGAATGTGCTACCCACTGCGTCGCCATTACTTATAATACACTTAAACATACTTAATTATAATGGTTATAGAAGACTTTTATTGGGTAAGAAGAGATCTCCACTTAAGTATCATATTTAGAGGAAAAATGTGTTTGATGCATTACAAAGCTTGAAGCATCAGAATCGGTGCTCTATATTGGCCTATCACCATGACAAGGAATCGGTACTGAGAATCAGCTGCAAAAATTTTAATCGAGGATCCCTCCTCATATTATGAGTAGACGTCAATGGAGCCTATCTTTGCTGGACATTATTTGTATGGAACTTTCAACAGCGCGCACACATGGAGCTCAGTCAAAAAATGTTGAGTCCTGGAATTTAACTTTTGATATTGTAAATCCTTTGTTTCTTCCTTTAATGTACTGCTTTTCTGTTTATATATAGTCTTATTGTATCTCATTATGTAAGTTATTTATTTGTACTTACCTAGCTTACTCTGTATTTGGGTTTACATTATTATTATTATTATTATTATTATTTTTATATATATAACACAGCAAGCTTTTAACTTTTGTCATTATAGAACAAGTCTACCTGGGTGGGGGGTGGGATTCGGGGTTGTTTTATGATATGGTCGTACGCTGTATGCTCTCTATATTAAACAAAAAATTTAAATAATAAAAACAATTGCTCACAAAAAAAAATTCGCAATCCTAATCGAAACATCCATAGTTTGAGGAGTAAAATTGGAAAGTAAATAAAATATGATACTGTGATTTAAAGTGCAGTTTGCTAGTAATCTAGGGTACCAAAAGGTCTAAATATAGCCCTGAAACCTATCAAAAATCGACTGCAGTCTGCAGAAGGAAGATCCTTTTTATATAGTGTGATGCCCACAATCTTAGACAGACTTTCTTTTGCAGTTCAGTAGACAAACACACTCTGTCACTAAATCAAGAAAAAAGACATCTCTTTGCACTAGCATACAAATAAAATACAAATATGTATGTGTGTGGCATATGGCAAACAATATGGCAAAACTACTGCACTTTAATGGCAAACATGCTGCACTTTATGAAAACATGTGCAATTATAAATAATACTAGCAAATTAGGAAAAGATCTTCATCTATTTGACAGCACATGTGCTGAAAAAAAACATGCTGCTTTTTCCCACAACCAAACAAACGAAAAAAAACGCGCTGCATTTTCTTTCAACACAAAAAGAATGGAACACAGTGGAAAAGTTTCTAGTGGACACAAATGTGAAGGACCCCGCTGTGCCATGATTATTGCTCATTGAAGTTGTATGTGATCTTTGAAAAGTGAGGTTTTTTGTTTGTTTATTTTAATATCCCGATACCCGTGTCTTTAGTATTTATTATAGCCTAAATAATCATAACCTAAAAAGCAGTGTCCATCACATCACACCGCATTTTTAATAAATTGCAATGTTTTATTAATTGTATTAACTCTGTAATTTGCTGGCATTTTTTTATTGCATGTGTTTTCTTACATTTCCACACGTTAAGCTCTCTCGGCCACCGTACAAAACTCTTAGACACCCTAAGAATGACATAATCTTGGATCTGGTAAAGATACTATATATTTTCTTTACAGGTTAGTCCCTTTATTAATCTGGGGTCACCACAGCGGAATGAAACGCCACTATTATATTATATAATATAATATAATATTATATTATATTATAATATATTATATTATATTATATTATATTATATTATATTATATTATATTATATTATATTATATTTACTAAAAAGTATGAGGATTATACTATTCAGAATTTATTCTTCTTCTTTGTTAACATGAACAACTGTTCATTTTTAGTTCATAATTGCTCAGGTCCAGTAATCAATAACAGATGTTTGCCTAATCATCTATTAGTTAGAAAACACTGACATTAATTAAGATTAACAAATGGTATTTTCAGGTTTGATTTATGTTAACTAACACACTCAACTCAGCTCAACTTATATAATAAACTCTCGTTCATACACACATCCACATGCAGTTAAGATATCACACAAAGATATTTCTGAAATACAAGTACTTACTGTATTACATTTCAATTATAAGATATTGTTGAACACAAATCCTTGGTTATACTTATGAGCACGGAAATCATCTATGCAGATCCACTATGCGAAAAAAATACCTTCAATGACCAGCAGACAGCAGTGATGTGATTATTCTGCCAACACTCACTGTCGGACGAAGAAGACTGACGTCACACATCATGGCCGCCTCCTGAGTGCAACGAGAAAATGTCATAACGACGAGCATCACTGTTTTACTGTTTAGTGGCTAACATATTCATTTTGAGCAGCTATTTTATATCTTGTAAAATGTTTAACACAACAATGCAGAGAATCAGAATATCAGCTTCTACAGTAACTCAAATCTGCAAATCCAAAGACTGCCTCGGTGTCCTCATCATGATTCCTCATGGACGTCGATGTTTGTCCTCCAGCTCTTGTTTATATGGGAAGGTTTTTCCGCGACAAAAGCCTCGCGTGGTCCCTGAGATAGCGGGACTGGAGCCTGTCACCTACGCCGACAGGATGCACTTCGTCCCCGGACTGGCAAAGCCGAGGTTTCCTAAATGGGAACGAGGATGGAAAAATCCCAATCACTACGAGAGCCCGAAACCAGAAGAGATGAAGCTGTTTAAAGATAAACCCTGCTACATCTTCAATCAGAGGACCAGTGTGGTGGAAGGTAACGTTAGTCAAAGGATTTCTTTGTATATTAGAATATACTTGTGTCTATTATAGATTATAATTTTGTAATATTCAGGTTCAAGTTGAGCTTTATAGTAGAGGTTTTATATTCACACATTTGGACTTTCTCCTTAATAATGTAATTTTAGAAAAGTGTTCTTTTGCTAATTCTAAATAGTGAAATCATATTAGCACCCCATGACTATCAAAGTACAATATTGTTTACAGTGAAACAAATAATGCTAATGTTATATATGTATATATATATATATATATATATATATATATATATATATATATATATATATATATATATATATATATATATATTAGGGATGTAACGGTATCAGAATTTCACGGTTCGGTATTTATTGAATCATTTACAGGAAAAAACAAAACTTATGAAAATACTCCAAAAAAGTGCCAAAAGTGTCAATGACATACAAATTAGCCATCTATCTGTAAGCTTTGAAACAGGAACTTCAATTTTGATAACAAAAAAATATTAAACCATGTAAAAAAATAAAGTTTCAATTTAGTATTGTTGAAAACTCATCACATTCAACATTTAATCACTCACTCACTCACTTAGATAGAGATGGGTTTAAAGGAAAATTATCATATAAATATAATCTGGTAAAAGCAGGTATCTCTGGGCATTTACAATGTCCCCTGCAACAGAAAAAACCCTCTCATTTGGGACTGAGGTTTCTGGGACAGAGAGATATGACTTGGCCCAGGTTGACAGCAGTGGGTAACGTTGTGCATTGTCTTTCCCCCACTTGAGAGGACAAACCATGAGTGAGATAGAGGTCTCATGTCTGTATCAATCTGAACAGTGTACTGACAACACCGCTATTCAGTACGCGCGCGACAACACAGCTGATAAGAACTCGCGCGACAACACAGCTGATAAGAACTCGCGCGACAACACAGCTGATAAGAACTCGCGCGACAACACAGCTGATAAGAACGCGCGCGACAACACAGCTGATAAGAACGCGCGCGACAACACAGCTGATAAGAACGCGCGCGACAACACAGCTGATAAGAACGCGCGCGACAACACAGCTGATAAGAACGCGCGCGACAACACAGCTGATAAGAACTCGCGCGACAACACAGCTGATAAGAACTCGCGTGACAACACGGCTATTTAGTACGCGCGCGGCGACAACACCCGCTTTAGAGTTTTCCAGCTCTTTTTCATCCCCGCTTCTAGCAGCACACTCCATTTCCGCATTACTGGATCTGTAGCGACAACAGACCGCAAGGGATTATGGTCAAGCATGGGCTGATGGGAATTGTAGTTTTCGCTACCTCCCGTTCGCTTCATTCGCCTGAGCAAATTTTCTCAGAAGACCTATAGTTTTACCGAGTCATGCGACTACGGTAATATCGAAAAAAATTATTATTGCGGTATGACGGTATTTACAATACCGTTACATCCCTAATATATATATATATATATATATATATATATATATATATATATATATATATATTTCAATTCTATCTTTTTCTGTATTCATAGATTGTTATGCATGAAAATACTCACAACACATGCAAATGCAGAAATGCACTGCAAGTAACACAGACCACAATGAAAATGTGTCAGGGGACTTGAAACATTTTACAGATTGTTAATTAGATTTTATGGAGATGCATTCTCACTGCAGAATCATGCCAATCGATATAACATTACAAATTCTTTCCAAATAGAGATGTGAAGCCATATTGTGAAATTGTATTCATATCACAATATATATCGCAAAATAAAAAAAAAAATCACAATGTTTAAATTTTCCAATATTGTGCAGCCCTAATGTGTATTGAGTAAGCGAGTAATGCGTGATTGTGATCTGTTTATAGGTGTTCGACAAGCCCTTTGGCTCAGTAAGTCAGCCGTCATTAAAGAGTTTCCTGCTCAGATTCTTTCACTGGCTGAAGATCCAGCCAATCAGATTGAAGATCAGGACGAGAGAGTGCAGAACGCCATTAAAAGCGCTTTACTGTGGGACACAACAGACGACCAGCCTCCCAGAGAGAGGTACTGGTAGGTACCCTGAGTGTTTTACATATATTTCTACAAACGTTTCTTGATCTTCAATGTTGAAACCTTAATAATAAAATAATTAAATGACAGGCAGCAGCTTTTTCATTAATCCAGAACTTCACTGATCTTTTGTGTTCTGTATTTTAGTTTCAACAATAGGTTATATGCCGAGCTAGTGTTGTTCCCATACTGATAAACTTCCGGTGACCTTTTATTGTGTTTTTTTTCCATTTCATTCCATTTTCCATTTCCTATTACAGCATCGATGTTGTAATGTAATTAAAATACAATCAGTTAAATAGACTTTGGCCTTCATGTAGTTGCTCAAGCGTAAAACGAGACAAAAAGCCGTTACGCGCACGCGCCCATCAGAATCGGCAGAGGAGCGCAGAAGCTCCATTGAATATACTGGGGTAAAATAAATGCTCATATTATAAAGATATGGCGGGGAAAATGTAATTTAATGCAGGGCTTCAGTTCTTGTACAATATTAGACCCACTTTATATCGGATATCACTCAGCCAGTGGAGATCGCTGATTTTTAAAGAAAACAGACCTTAAACGCGTAAGGTCTTTAAAAGTCCTATTAGCATGTTTCGGCATATACCCTATTATTTGACTTCATGTTTAGAGTTACTGAGCTCATCCTACTGCAGTCAAGACAGATTTTGTCTTATTGAAAATGTTAACTAAATTAATTACAATAAAATGTAAAAAGTCTTAAATGTTCACTCAAAAATGAAACAAATCAAACCAGCTTTCTATCTTTACTCCTGTCCAAGGCTTTACATTAGCACCCGCCAACCTGCCAAATGCGGGTAGATTTCAGCTCTGGCGGGTTAGACAGACACCTCCACTAGCCACTTTGGCTGGTTGGAAATAATTTTTAAATTGCAGTTTTCTTAAAAGCAGGGTTCGACAAAAAGCATGGCCCGATATTCGTGCAAATGTGATATTAGAATCGAGCAGCACGACTGACAAAAATAACTATGGTGATGTGATGCGCGCGACAAAAAGTGCGCACGCTCCCGTTTACTTGCACAAATCCCATGCCTAGAGGTAGAGCTGGGCGATAATTCGATATCGATAATTATGACGATATAAAATTTTTCAATAAAACGATAATGACAGTTCGATAATTGCTCGATAATGTTTACGCACTATGCGTAACGTTGCGCAAGCATTTTTCAGCCTGCCCTTCCGGATGCTGCACGCCTTACAAGTTTACAGCCATACAGTGTTCGTTGCACTGAAAGGAGTAAGAAAGAAATAAGGTAAAAAAGGTCACAGTCTCAGACATTGTTGACAAGAAACGTCACTAGACTTCAGTCATGAGCTTCTTAGTTTTTTGCTATCCGACACAAAACAGAGTAACGTGCACCGCAAACTGTGCTGACGTCTCCTGTCATCAAAAGCAGGCAACACCAAAAACCTGTTTCACCATTTAAAACAAGACCACCCTTATGAAGATGAAAGTACAGACCTAAACAAGTGTTAGTAAACCAGCACAGCTACCCAGCAGAGTCTCGTGTCATCATTTTCGAAAGCCGTGCCTTACGAGAAAAAACCCCGAAAAGACAGACGCAAGACATGACAGAGGACACAAGTCCAAACACATCTTAATGAACACTTAATGCTTGCTGTAAACTACAGGCTGCATCATTTAAGGGTATTTGTTAAGACAATAAAGGATGTTTTGATGTCAAGCTTTCCTTTTAATATTAAAATATTTGTTTTGAAATCTGTATACCACTATTGTCTCTCATCGACGTTAAATTAACCAGCCTTTATATAACCTATTTAAAGGACATAATCACAGAGGAGAAATCAGTTGCTCAAGACATAATCTTTAAAATAATGACATATTAAAAATGCAGCAAATATATAACAGACATTTACAACAACAATGGATCATTAATTAAATCCTTTTTTTCCACGGAGCGAAGCATCATCCACCCGCAGTTGTTTAAGGCGAACTAAATAAATATAAACATATTTCCTTGAAAATGTATCTTTTTGTAACGAATTTCGTTTTGTATAATGTGTAACTTAATTTTGATGTATATTTTGTTGGTCAGATATCTACAGCATAAACAAGAGGAACGAATAACATCTGAGGTGAAGCGCTTTAACACAAGCCCGCTATATGCTTTAGCGCCAAAACAGTCCATCAAACTATTTTCACGGTTTCATTTTAATTCATTAACTAAGCGCGGTGTAAGCGGCATGAACTGGACACGCTTTTCGCTGCACTGATAGATTTCTTGGGTTACCTCGGAAGAATAAACTTGGATGGAGTGCAGAAGCTCGCTGTGTAAACGAAGGCTCCCCGGCTGGCTCCCCGCATGTTTTCGTTGTAATGCGTGATTTGTAAAATGAGAGTCTGCTTAGACCTATTCGTGCTAGTCTGTCAGACACATTTGGTTAAAACACGTGTGGATATAAACAAGGGTTTATGCGTCCCGCAATATGGGATGTCAAGAGGGTGACAGCATAGGTAAACTGCATACACTTGTTGATGTAATGCATGGATGCATCTCACAGCGCAAAACATAACTAAACCTTTATATGTCTACGCTTAATCAGTCATCGATAAGGTTTATCAATTAAAGCGTTATCGACAATCAATAGATCAAGTAATCATTAACATCCCTAAATAAAATACATTAAAGTATATTTTACCCTAAATTTACCATACTCCATTAAAAGAAGAGTTCATCTAAAACTGAATATTCGGTAACTTTTTACAATAAGGTTTATTAGTTAATGCATTTACTATTATGAACTAATCATGAACAACACATGTACAGCATTTATTAATCATAATTAAACATTTACTAATGCATTTTTAACATCCAAGTCCATGCTTGTAACCATTAGTTAATGCACCATGAGTTAACATGAACTAACAATGAACAACTGTATTTTTATTAACTAACGTTAACTTGCATGAACAAATACTGTAATGTATTGTTCATTGTTTGTTCATGTTAGTAAATGCATTACCATTAACTAATGAACCTTATTGTAAAGTGTGACCGAAAATTCTGACCGTTAACTCACGTTGTTCCAAACCGGGTTTATTTTTTTTTCTGATGTTGAACAATAATATCTAATGACTTGTAGGTAATGTATTTGGTTGTTGAAAACTTGAACAAGTAAATTCTGAATTAAGATTTTTATTTTGTTATTATTTTATTATTTATATTGTCAGACAGCTAAAACATTTCACTAAATGTGTTAAATCAGCTGCACAAAAGCATTGGCATGCTGAAAATCCTATATAATTGATAGATATAAAGATTGTACATTTATCGTGATAAATATCGATATCGACTGATATGAAAAAATTATCGTGATAACTTTTTTTGCCATATCGCCCAGCTCTACATAGAGGAAGTGCAACGGGTGCGATCGGTTCCTTTTGAAATAGACTGGACAAAGAGCGATGATCATGCACCCACAGTCCTGCTGCTTTCCAGAGCTCAAGATAAAAAAAAACACATTCTTTTGTAAGCTTTCATTTGAATTATTCTTTGAACATATTATCAACAGGCCTATATTAACCGTGTGCTTGTGATCATCCTTTCATTGACACACACGGTATGTTTCACCTGCTTTATTTTGCTTAGTTATTTTTGTTAATATGGTTTAATTATATTTTTTACAACAACATTGCTTTAATGGGAGATTACTCCCCGTTTATGTGTAGTAAGTGCTAATCTGAGACTTTTAGCCAGGACAGATTACTGTGCATATTTTAGATACATGACAATACTACTTTTTTAAATGTTAATTTGTTTTAAAAGAAAAGTTTTGTTAAATTAAAAAGTGCACCTGTAACTCTATATTTTCCTTGTTTTGACACATTAAAACATTGTGGCTAAGAAATACTTATTTGGTGTGGTCAGAGATAAATTTGGTAAATCCTTAATTTTGAGCCGTAAAAAGTCATGTGAAATAATTTCTAATTGCATTGCGACAACCCATTTGCTCATGCACAATGAGAAAGCTAATACACAATACACACAAGAAGTTAAATGAATGAGGAGGCATGTTGTGGACATAACACAACATCTAAATTAAGTCATTTTAGCATGTCAAAGGCAAATTCATGCATATAAAATATAATTCCCAACAAAAAAAGTGTGGCTAGTGAAAATGGCGAGTGGCTAGTGATGTTGGAAATCTACTAGCAACAGTGGCTGGTGATCAAAAAAGTTAAAGTCAAGCCCTGGTCCTGTTTATTAAATTGAAGCTTAGAAAAATTTTCAAGCCTCAATATGTTAATCGAGAAATCAGTTTAAGCTTTTTGATCTAAGCCTTCTAAAAACAAACGTTAACTTTTGTATGTTGCCACTCTTCAAGAAGACAATCACATTGCAAACACCACAAGGGGAAACAAATGATTTCCTTAAAGGGTCACAAAACACCAAAACACATTTTTTGAGATGTCGACAGTCATATATGTGACCAACGTTGCTAAAAACACTATTAGAACACGTATATTGAGCTAACAAGTGAAAATTGGTGTTTTTTGCGGTATTTCAAGCAAATTCGTCCTTCCGGTTTGAAAATAAATTTTGAAGCTACGTCACGACGATGAGATCCTTGTGTAAACTTCAGCATAAAGACTCGCTGTCTGTACCGGTAGGTACAATTTGACGTCTTTGAGTTTTCATCATTAATTCAGGAAAATGGCGTAGCAGCTGCAATGGTAACTGGTCAACAACATTATGGAATCAGTCTGCCTAAAGAATGCTCCATATTTACAGCTGAAGCCCGCGCTTTACTTTTAGCATTGGAGTTTATAGAAAATGCCCAACAAAAGAAATCTATCATTTTTACAGACTCTAAATCATCCCTCCAAGTTTTGGAATCTTCAAAGAATGATCATCCTTTGATTGATAATATTTTAACTAAAGTTCACCAACTACAAAATCAGTTTTATCACATCATTTTCTGCTGGGTTCCAGGACATGTCAGACTTTCAGGCAATGAGCGAGCTGATGCAGCGACTAAAGATGCTTTGAAGCAAGTAGTGAACAAATGCCAAATCCCTCCGTCAGAGATGAAACCTTTTATAAACGCTTACATTTTAAACAAGTGGCAAAAGGAATGGGATGCATTAGAAAACAATAAATTACCTGAATTCCAACCTGAAATTTCACACAGAATTTTAAGACATTTTAACAATCGATTTGATCAAGTAGTTTTTACCAGATGTCGTATTGGGCATACGAGAATAACACATGGTTTTTTGCTCCAAGGTGAAAAACCTACTCAGTGTTTGTGCTGCAAAACTCCTCTTACTATAAAACCCATTTTACTGGACTGTCTTGCTTTTACTGATTCCAGAAGACTTTTTTATGAAATGAACTCTTTTAAGGACATTTTTAATAAAGTGAAACCAGAAAAGATTTTAGAATTTTTATCATGTATTAACACAAAAAATCTTATTTAATTTATGTTTTATTTTGTTGGTTGATTTTAAAATTTTATATTTATTGTTGAAAGATTCCTGCCATGGAAATAGCCTTGATTGCTGACATGGCATTAAATAAAAAAAATACATTACATTCATCATTAATTCAAGAGATGCTTGGTTCGAACCAATCAGCACTCTATTGTGAATGAGGTGCAAGTTCAGTAATATGCATGATATAGCTTCAAAGAGAGACGCCACATTGTGTTGCCAATCGTAATTAAGTGGAAGTGGAAGAAGAAGAAGGTTCATGGCCTATTAAAGAGCCCCTATTATTCTGTATAAAAGGTCATATTTTAGTTTTAGGGGTCTCCAACCACCAGCTGATATGTATGCAAGGTCAAAAAACCGAGGTCACATAGTACATATTTATTTTTTAACTACATAATGAGAAAGAAGCCTTTAGTGGGGCAGAAAATATACATGTTTGCTCACCTGGGTTTGAAGGGAATTAGCAATTTCTCCTCCACTTTTTTCCTTTGACCGGTAGTGATATTGCTCAGATGACACGTCAAACCGACACGGGTGCTGCTGTCAAATTTACACTGGTTTTTCCTCCAATTCTTGTTTACAAATAAACTGAAAATGAGCGCTTTTAACATCTTCCCTAACCTCCTGCTGGCCTGAAGGTACACACACTAGTGAATGCTGCTCTCTCACTGGCTGTAGGTAATCGCCGATGTTATTTTCAATCAGATCATATTCACACGACATTATTTGAATCGTCGACAGCTACAGATATTTAGCATGCCAAATCTCACGGGCATCGGCGACTCATCGGCGATTCTCTCAGATGGCAGATGCAGTCTGAACTCAGCATATGTGTGTTGTGATTGGGTTTAGTGCGAGATGGAGTGAAACGCCCATGATGGTTATGAAATAGCCAGAGTACAGAGTATGGCCCAATCCCAATTCTATTTTTGTACTCCTTCCCCTTGCCCATCATGTCAACACCACAGCCTACCTAAGTAGTGTTGCTGATTATGTCCGTCCCTTAATGACCACAGTGTACCTATCTTCTGATGTTTACTTCCAGCAGGATAGTGCATCATGTCATAAAGCGCAAATCGCCCTAGGCTGGTTTTTTGGACATGACAATGCATTCACTGTACTCAAATGGCCTCTACTGTCACCAGATCTCAATCCAGTAAAGCACCCATGGGATGTGGTGGAACGGGAGATTCGGATCATAGATGTGCAGCCGACAAATCTGCTGCAACTGCGTGATGCTATCATGTCAATATGGGCCAAAAATCTCAGAGGAATATTTCCAGGACCTTGTTGAATCTATGCCACGAAGGATTAAGGCAGTTCTGAAGGCAAAAGGGGTCCAACCAGGTACTAGTCAGGTGTACCTAATAAAAGTGGCCAGTGAGTGTATGCAGACGTTCATCCATATCACAAATGTAGCTTGTTAATTACATTGGTCGCAGTGCTGCCATTAAACATACCATAAAGCATTTGTCCCCTTCTCACACCATAAACAGACCCACGGGTGAATGAACGGCTCTCGGCAGCTACCGTCCCCTCTCACCCGGCGCCTCATAATTGGCTCAACAGCTTCAATATGGAAGGTGGCATTTGGCCTGGGCCTTGTCGCTCTGATGGTGTGTTGAGTTTAATGACGGTCATTAAACACGGGCCGGTCTGCATTCCCAGCAGGCGGCGGCTCTGTAAAGCCTTTATTAATTAATACCGCTCCTAGGAGGTCTGCCATTCATAAGAGCCTCTTTGATATCTCTCATCTCCCCCGGTTAAAGTCTGCCCTTTGGTGCCTGTTTTATCTCCCAACTACTGCTGGCCCTTAACATTTTCCTTCTCACAAAAGCCCGTCACCAAAAGGCCATATTGACATTGACACCAAATGACATTACGCTCACGAACATGCGTTTGGCGAATTGGGAATGTCCGCATGCTGTTTTGTATGAGCCATCGCATAGGTAAATGTCTTTTATGTGTGTAAATAGTGTTTTCATTTCCTTCATAGCCCCATGCTTGTGCATAGACTGCTTCATCTGTGTGGAGTCCTGCAGGTCCGCCATCCGGAGCTGGCCAAGAGGATGCTAGCTGAGAAATACAATTTGGCAGCGACCTGGAGGAGAGGTGGGTGTGTGTTGTCCATCACATATGCCTATCCTTCACTCTTAGATTAAAATTAATATGGATATAATGAATGCAGAAGGCTAATTTGCTTCAATTTTTATTTGATTTAGTGAGAAGTTGTCGACCATATTTTATTTGACTTTTTATATTATTTTATTTTTAATTAAATTTATTATAATTTTTTTCGTTTATATTCATTTTATTTAATTTTTTAATTTTGTAAATTAATATAGTTGTTTCATTATTTTATTATTTTGTTGTTTTGTTATTTATTTATTTTAATATTTTATTTTTTATTTTATTTTGATTTAATTTTTATATTTTTAATATTTTATTTAATTTTTTCTTTTTATTTTAATTTATTTTTTCATTTATTATTTTTATTTATTTTTTTATTTTTTTCATTTTATTTATTTATTTATTTAGCTTTTTATTTTTATTTTGTTTTATTTTATTTCATTTTATTTTATTTTTCATTTTATTAATTTTTTATCTGATTGTATTTTAATTCTATTTTTAACCCCTTTTATTTTATGCTATTTTATTTTCATTTTGTTTTCATTTTTATTTTGTTATTTTTGTTTTATTTTATTTCTTTTTATTTCATTTTTTTATTTTGTTTTACTTTTTTATTTTATTTCATTTAGTTTAATTTATTTAATACAATTTTTTACCAGTGCATCTACATGGATCATCGTACTAGATATACGCTACTGTTAAGTTTGGCAACTTGTTTTGTTCGAGCAAAAAACAGTAAGACAGTAAAGAATTAAAGTATTATCTTAGGGTTTTTAAAAAATATTATTTTTGTAGTTTCAACGCTGAATTTTCAACATCATAACCCATAACAATCGTAACAGTCTAAAGTGTCACATGATCTTTCAGAAATCACTTTAATATTGCAATTTGCTGCTCAAGAAACATTTGTTATTATTGTTAAAAACAATTATATCCCTTTAGGTCTGTTTAAACAGTGATAACATTTTTCTGGATTCTTTGTATGTAAAAAAAAATTGAGTTCTTAGTAGTGGTACGTAGTCAACTAAATATTACATTTATTTTATTATACATAATATATATATATATATGTGTGTGTTTTTGTATATTTACATGTATATTATTTTTTTTAAACGGCCAGCTTTGAAATATACAGGACCTACTGTTAAGTTTGGCGTTTGACTATTACTTATTTATTATTTATGACTGAATATTTTTCAGTGTCTTTTATGCACCAAGGCTGCTTTGTTTGATCAAAATGCAGTTAAAACAGTAATATTGTGAAATATTGTTTAAATGAAATTATTTCAATATATTTTAGTTAAGATTTTTAAGGATTATTTGTTTAAAAATGATACCATCATGGCGGGTGTACTGGAGGCTTAACTATACAAAACATCTTTCCCCAGGCGAGGATGTGTTCCAGGTTAGAGGTCATAACGGGTTGCTGTTAAACTCTATGAACCCTTTACCTGTGCTGGCGGGACCTGAGCAGATCCAGGGCACCGCTGATCAAGAGCTGGAAACTTTCTTCCCCATCGCACCCACCATTGACCTGCAGTGCACAAATGTTTACCAGGAGAAGAGCACCACAGGTCAGCCACTGCCTTCATTCACCATCATTTCTTTCGGGAATATACTTTTACGAATTATTACGATCCTGAATATAAATGATTCCCAATTAAGGGGCCGAGGCCTTTTTGAGTTCTGTGTAAAAAATCTTCATACGATTGTCTTCATGTTCAAGAGACTCAAATCTAATACACTAAAGGCGCTGGTGTACACCTTTATGTTTTTCGTTCTTCATTTGAGTGTAAAAAGAAGTTAAAAAAGGCTTAGTGATGAGGTGTTAAACATTCTGCCATCCTGTGCTGCTATGCATTTGATTCAAGGCTGAGCGTAAATGAATTTAAAAAACTAAGTTAAAAAAAAAAAAATATTGAAATAAGAGGAGTACATTTTGATTTCATGCCCATTTTAAAACGCATGCAAAGATGTTGTTGCCAGAGTAACAGATGCACAAGCTGTAAAGGCTCCACCCTCCTCTGGAAAAGTGGGCAGGGACAGCGGTTCATTTGCATTTAAAGAGAGACCGAAAACAGGGTGATGCTACTTTCACCAAAAAGAGACAGCTTAACAAATGAGCTTCAAGGAGCCTGATTTGTTCATTTTCTCTTCTCTAGGTTTCAGAGAGGGTTATCCTTGCCCTCATGCCCACACTCTTTATGTGATGGAAATGGGAAACACCCCAAAACTTCTCCCCGAGCAGCTCCGTGCTAAGATGATCATGTTCTGCTTTGGAAATGCTCTGGTCAGAGCAAAAGCCCTGTATGGGGTAAGAAAATTTCATTTCTGGAAGATTTATTAACAACTGTTTATTAAGACTTGGAAATATATCAGATATTAATGATGTACACTAATATTTGGACACTAATCCAAAAATTTGGAGTGGGTATTGTTATTATGTATTTATATATATATTTTTTAAAGGAAATTATTACTTTTAATCCGCAAGGATACGAAAAATTGAAAAAAAGGGCATCTATGATGTAAATCCACTTTTGTAAGCTGTTTGGACAGAACTGTGTGTCAGTATAATGTGTCCACTGTCATATTGGTGTGAAATAAACCCAACAAGTCTGTTTTCTAAAGTTTCCTAATGTTAAAATAGGATCCAAATCACCACTACGTGACGTTGGACTATGGTTTTCCCCGTCCACCGAATAAATTAACAGGCGCCATGTTTCTATAATAACATGTTTACCCTTTTCCTCAGATAATTGTTTTGCAAATAAACAGGGATTCAAATTACGTTTATTAAAATTACGATTTTTATAAGTTTTGCAGTTTTAAATTATTAGCCCCTTTAGGCTAATCTTTGTTTTGATAGTCTACTGAACAAACCATCGTCATACAATAACTTGGGTGTTTTACTGTATTTTCCATCTGTCGGTATATTTTTGTAGTAGAAATTTAATAGTACATATTCAATCAGTTCAGTTTTAGCTGTTCTTTTTTAATCTTCCTGTTGACCTGTGGTTCTACTTGAATCTTTGTATGTAAAAAAAAAAAAAAAAAAAAAAAAAAAATATATATATATATATATATATATATATATATATATATATATATATATATATATATATATATATATATATATATATATATATTTTTTTTTTTCCTAATTTCTGTTTAATGGAGGAAAGATTGTTTTAGCACATTTCTAAGTATAATAGTTTTAAAAACTTATTTCTAATAACTGATTTATTTGATCTTTGTCATGATGACAGTAAATAATATTTCACTAGATATTTTTAAGACACTTCTATACAGCTTAAAGAGACATTTAAAGGCTTAACTAGGTTAATTAGGTCAACTAGGCAGGTTCGGGGTAATTAGGCAAGTTATTCTATATCAATGGTTTGTTCTGTAGACTGTCGGGAAAAAAATTAGCTTAAAGGGGCTAATAATTTTGTCTTAAAAATGGTTTTTAAAAAATGTAAAACTGCTTTTATTCTTGCCGAAACAAAACAAATACGACTTTCTCTAGAAGAAAAAATATTATCAGACATACTGTGAAAATATCCTTTCTCTGTTAAAAATCATTTGGGAAATATTTAAAAAAGAAAAAAAAAATCTAAAGGGGGCTAATAATTCTGATATATATATATATATATATATATATATATATATATATATATATATATATATATATATATATTAGTTATAATATTTAGAATTTAGTTTTAATTTTATACATAATTACATTTAAATAAAATAATTTATTTTTTATAAAATGCTGATAATAGAAAATAATAGAAGGCACAAGAAATCTATCATATAATACATTTGTACATATATACATATATTTATAATAAAGGTTTAAATGAGCATTTTATACAAATATTTTAGAGAAAATCTTACACAGGTGGGCCTACAAAAATTGATTAGAGAAAGCAGTGGGCCCAAAGTGGAAAAAGGTTGAGAACCCCTGCGAATAAAGAATCCTGAATCAGCATCAGTTTTACAGCTTTCTCAGACAGAAGATGACATTTTAAGGCTTAACTAGGTTAATTAAGGTAACTAGGCAGGTTAGGGTAATAAGCCAAGTTATTGTATAACGATGGTTGGTTCTGTAGGTTATTGAGAAAAGAATATAGCTTGAAAAAATATTATCAGATATACTGGGAACATTTCCTGAATCTGTTAAACATCCTTTGGGAAATATTTAAAAAAGAAGAAAAAAATTTGAAGGGGGCTAATAATTCTGACTTCAACTGTATATATACACACACATACACACAGAGTTAAAGTCAGAATAATTAGCCCCCCACCCCCCTTTTTATTTTCTTTTATTTTTGTTTAATAAAGAGACATTTTTTTCAAGCATAATAGTTTTAATAACTCATTTCTAATAACAGATTTATTTTATCTTTGCCCCGATGACAGTACATAATATTTGACTAGATATTTTTCAAGACACTTCTATACAGCTAAAAGTGACATGTAAAAGCCTAACTAGGTTAATTATCTTAACTATACAGGTTAGGGTAATTAGGCAATTTTTTTGTATAATGATAGTTTGTTCTGTAGACAGACGGGGGAAAAAATATAGCTTAAAAAGGTTAATAATTTTGTTCTTAAAATGGTGTTTAAAAAAATGTAAATCTGCTTTTATTCTAGCCGAAATAAAACAAATAAGACTTTCTCCAGAAGAAAAAATATTATCAGACATACTGTGAAAATGTCCTTGCTCTGTTAAATATCATTTGGGAAATTTTTATAAAAGAAAAAAAAAAAGTCAAGTGGGGTTTAATAATTCTGTGTTCAGCTGTATGTGAAAAACAGTATGTGAGCAGTGTAGTATGTCTGAATTCATAGTAATCAAAAATCAGTAAGTGCCTGCTGACCTACTACTGTACTATTGGCAAAATTTTGAAATGTGCATCCAATGGATATTGTGCTATCCCATAAGGCCATACGATGCGGGGAGGTCATGTGATAATGGCAGATGTACAGTAGTACATCCGAATTCCACTCATACTCCTCACATTGATACTATATAGAACTTTCTTTTATAACAGTCATGAAGTAAATTCTAATTCAAAATCTAGCTTCTACTGGAATAGTATGCGCAGTATAGTATATAGTATACTATAGCACAGTATTCAGGCACAGTAAAAAAGGATGCAGGAATAGTTTTATGGTCTTCTTTTTCTTTTTAGTGATGATGAAGTTATTTTTTTACAACATGGCCATATCCAAATGGTGCCATTTGTTACAATTTTGTTGAATAATAATCATTCTTTCTTGTGATGATTTTGTAGACAACTTGCTTTCATTATTTATTGTCTTTAGATCTGCATTAGTTTCACATGTTTGGTTCAGTTTGTCAGTAATGATAATCTACTTTACATGCGTTCTCTTGTCTCCGTCAGGACGAGCCCAGAGTTCTGGAGAAGCCCATTGTGGTTCAGAGTGTGGCCACAAACGGCCGTATCTTCCAGTTTGTGGTGTTTCAGCTCAACACGACGGAGCTGCAGTCGGACAGCGGAGTGAAGAATCTGGTGTGGGTGGACGAGGATAAACCGCTTTATGAACACGCCCAGGCCCGGGCTCACATCAAGAGGAGAGTCGTCAAGGTAAAGTCCACTTCATTCATGTTCAGTCCCTGCTGAAAAAAACAGCTGAAACCAGCCTAGGCCAAAACCCCTTTAAAACCAGTCTGGTTGACCAGCTAAAACCAGCCTTGGCTGGTTTAAGCTGTTTTTTTCATTAGGGGTACAGGGAATGTTCACCCAAAATATGAAAGCGTTAAAGGCCCGTGCATACCGAGACGTTTTTTGCTCGTGTTTTCCGTCGACCTTCAATGCTTTGTGATTTAAATAAAGGGCGTCAATGTGATTGTGCACACCAACGCGCAAAACAGCAGGCACAAAAGCGTCATTTAAAAAAAAAAAACGCCTCATGCTCGTTTTTTTGTTTTGACGTGAGCCTTCTCCACCAATCAGGTTGGCACTTTTGTTCACATGCATGGAGTTGTTGAAGTTACAGTAAACAGCACTTGGAGGCGCTCAAGCGCAAAACTGTCAATGCGAGCGCACATTGAAGAACATGCCCAGAGGCGATATAAACGTTTAGCTGCTTATTGCACCGTTGAACAATAATCATTTCTTCATCGCTAGAGCTGGAGCTGCTGCTTGAGCCATCCATACTTGTTCGAGTCACCAGTAACTTTAACAACAAGCGTGTGAACTTCCTCTCCTCCTCTTCTTCTGTGTTATAAGCGGGTGTCAGAAGCTTACAGTTGTGTAGCGTCATCTAACGTCAAGGAGTGATTTTGCATACTCCTGCTTGAAGCCAGTGAAAATCCCTTGGGTTTGAATATGGAAAAACGTCTCGTAAAACGCTGACGATGAACACAAACGAAAAGCGTCCCGGTGTGTCGGAGCCTTTACTCAATATTTACTAGGAATGGGAAGGTTCAAAACGTTTTGTTCAGTTTGATTTTTATCACAGTTCTGTGATTTTCGTTTGATTTACATTGTAAAATGTTGAAATAAAATATATATGCGTAACATGCATAGCCTTGTCCACCATTTACCGTATTAAAAAAAAAAATCATTCTCAAGGCCATGTATTCTAATTTTAGTAAGTTTTACAGTTAGTTTTCAAATACTGCAGTTGACCCTCCTGCGTGAGCTTTTTTTTGTGTGACCATTACTTTGAATTTATTAGGTGTTGAAATCTGTCTTTAATCAGTGCATGCTGGTTAGAAAAGCGTCAACACCACGTGCCTGTCACACGTGAACAGATGCACAGAAGTCTAAATCTGCATTTGCTGACAGACAGTTTGAGCTACTTATCGGAATTATGGGAGATGTCAGCCCGACAATATTTAATTAGATGAACATTTTTTTGTTTTATGCCTCACCCAGAATATAAAAATACATATAAACACATTTAGATTATTTACTTTAATCAGTACTGTTGGACTGTGAAGAGACTTTCATCCAGCTTAACAAAAAAGGTTTCTGAAGACAATCACCTACTGCTCCTTTAACTAGCGACATTAGGACTTAAGAAATGCAATACAAAAGTTTTCTCGGTGGGACAGTTAAAGGGTTAAAGAAGATAGTTAGACTATTAAAATAAAAAAAAAAACATGAAAAATAATGATGACATCAAATATTTGTGCAATTATAGAATCATCCATCTTCACTTCAGTTCTAAAGTTTTGGGTGAAAAGTTTTCTTATTATTCTAAATGTAAATTGATTTCATTTATTATTCACTGGATTCACATAAATCATAATTCTTTCCTTCACGTTTACTAGTTGAAGAGTATTTGGGATTCTGTGCTCAATTTTTTTGAGTTGTGAAATTCGAATAACCCTAAAATGATTTAACCAAACAATAAAATGTTGTGCTCTTGATTGTAGATTCCTGCTGGTTTGTCAGGATATCAGCCTGAGACCTTCAAGAAGTTTCTGGCTCTCTTTCTCCACGGTGCTACATGAACAGAACAAACCCCTCTGGCAGAATATCACCATCACTTCAATATCTCTGACTCGCAAAATAAAGAAAATTGTGGATAAAATGTCGCTCGCCTGTTTCTTTGAACTCTTCATAACCAATTTTGACAACCTGTTGTTTTATACATATTTATTCGCAGAAGACATGAGAGAAATAAGAGTGGTGTATGAACAGAAAAATAATTTAATCATAAAAATTACACAAGTCATTTTACTGTCTTCCAAAGAACGTAATATACATTGTAAAGGCTAAACAACATGACTGAAGTGTGGCTGTACAGCATCATGGCAGACAAGAGTAGAGAAACTGTTATAAATAAGCATCCTTTGGGCGTTTGCAGCACTTCTTCAACGGTGACTAAAAGCAAACAGGAATGGGTAAAAACTATAAGCCAGTGAAAAAGGATTAAATATTATTTTGTTTACTTAAACTCCCACCTTAAAGGCATAGTTTCACCCAAAAATGAAAACTCAGTCAGCGTTTATTCACACTGGCGGTGTTCTAATGCTGGATAACCCCTTTGGTTAATTGAGGAAAAAAAAAACCTGCTTGCACTCATCTATCAAATGAACATGAAGAGCAGAGAGCATTGAGTTTTACCGAATGGTCCAGTGAATTACATGGCATATTGCAAAAAAATTGTGAAGGAAAATGATTGGGGTTGGTTGGGAAAATGGCTAAACTTAGCACATTTTATGTAAATCTTGCTTGTCAAGGGCAGTGCACACCGGGGTAATTTTCATTCATGTTTATCACTGACATTTAACACCTCGTGACTACAGAATAAGCGAGCACACCGCCACGCGCAAACAATGACTGGTGCAAGAGCGTCATTAAAAAAAAGCCTGACTCATTTTTTCCGCTAACGCCAGTGAAAGTCGATTGTGTATGATTGCTGAAAAACATTTTGAGAATCTCTGTTGATAATCGCGAGTAGTGAGCGTCCAGATGGAATTTCATTTAGTGTGGCAGTTCACTCCAACTCACCAAGAACATGTCAATAGTAGCCTATCTGGATAAAAGTCACGAGAAATCAAAATAAATAGAAATACGACACATTTTCTTTTTTTGGGGTGCATATATCTGTTGTGTTTGCATTTAAGTCAACATTCTGACGAGTCACAGACCATAGCACGGTGAACATTTCAGGCCATCCTCAGACTTCAGTCATACAATAACAAGGTGTCATGCCTGATCATTTCAGGCATAGTTTCTTTGACTGCAAGGCTTTTGCTCTCATGAAAACCAAGATGAGGTATCAGCCCTGCTGGGAAAAAAAAAAAAAAAAACATGGCTGGTTTTCGCTAGTCGACCAGCCTGGTTTAAGAGGGGTTTTGGCCATTTCAGGCTGGTTTCCAGCCATTTTCAGCCTGGTCTTAGCTGGTCAGGCTGGGAAATGACCAGCTAAAACCAGTTGGTCATGTTCTAGCATGACCAGGCTGGAAATGGCAGGAAATCAGCCTGGAAATAGCCAAAACCCCTTTAAAACCAGGCTGGTCGACCAGCTAAAACGGCCTAGGCTGGATTAAGCTTTTTTTTTTTTTTTTCTCCAGGAGGTCTCGTACAATTAGGAATCAGGCAAAACGAAGATGAAAATTTCAAAGTCCATTTTGTCTGACGTCAGATTGTACAACGTCTGACATTATTTTTCCTGAGACCAAAAGTCTTTTAGTCTGAGGAATGATGCCTGAAATTATGACGTATGATGCCTTGTCATTGTATGACTGTGGTCTGAGGATGTCCTAAAATGTAAAAAACAGTTTTTTTTAGGATTTCTACACATTGTTTTTTAAGTATTTTTTGAAAACATTAATGCTATAACAGAGTCTCATGAACGTGCAGTGCTGGACAAAAGCAAATGATAAAAGGTCTGAATTTTAGTTATAAGATTGATTAAATAAAATTGGTTTTCCATAGAATCCGACATACAATTAGAGCATTTGAAACATAGTGTATGTTTTTATGAAAGCATTCTGTGTAGTCTTTTTCTCAACCACGATCCTGGAGGACCACCAACACTGTATGTTTTTGATTTCTCCCTTGTCTTTCACACTCATTACAGGTCTTTCATTCTCTGCAAACTAGCTGATGCTCTGAATCAGGTGTGTATATATATATATATATATATATATATATATATACACACAATACATATATATATATATATATATATATATACATTTTTTTCAGTTTTCAATGCGTCAGCAGCTTAGTTAGGCACTAAATGTCAGTTTAACACCTTACAAGTTCTGAGCACTCTGCATTTTATTAAATACTCAGAGAGTTGAGTAGTTTTAGAAGTCTTTGGTCTGTTTTACATTCATATTTCAGGTCAACAACACTTGCGTCTGCTTGCAAGTGGAGTTAACCTGCAAGCGAATAGAAACAGGTTTGTTTTCAATTATTTAGTGATCCTGAACTGTTTGTTTGGAGTCTGAATGCTCGAAAATGTACATTCCGTCAATATTTACTCACTCTCCGCTTGTTCCAAACCTGTTTGAGTTACTTCTGCTGAACACAAAGGAATATATACTGAAGAATTTTGGAAAAAAGCAGCCAGCCATTGACTTCCATGGTACTTTTTTGTTCCTAAAACAGATCTCAATTTATTGATTTATCTTTATTCCCTCCAACTTTCTTCAGAACAGTTTTGTGTTCAACAGAAGGAAGAGGTTTAGAAGCACTGGAGTAAATGATAAGGAAGTTTCATGTTTGGGAGTAATATCGCTTTAAAAAATCTGCATAATAAAAGTAATATCAGAGAATTTAGTTTAATCGAATCAAACCTTTAATACAAAAAAGGGTGAACATCCTAAACGATGACTCAGTTTTCATTTTTGGGCAAACTATTAAATAAATAATGTCAATCTATGGAAAACATGACACATACCACAATTGTCTTATAGTAGGTGTCACTGCTGTTATTAAAAGACTTCAGCAATAAAATCCATAAATAGAAAACAACAAAATGGAGAAACCTTTTACTAACAGTCCTTTACGTTCCTAAGTATGCATCAGAAAGGAATAAAGGACAGTAGATTAATTGCCATTCCTGTCAGTGCATTTCATCTGCTGTAGCCCAAGCCATTCCTCTGGAGTAAGTCATTGTCAAGGAAGTCATTACAGAGAGACAGGGGTTATGAAACGTTTTTTAAAATATCAGACTAGATCCTAAAATACTCTAATGGAATGTGATACAGACGCTGTGTCTGCGCTGAAGAAGCTCTAGTATGCAGCACTACATCCACAGTGTAATGTTGTCATGGTCCCGACCATTTCAGATCAACTTACTGAAAAGAAACAAGCTTATGTCGTCTTGTCCTGTGGAGGGGGGCATCTGATAAAGCAATACAAAATGTAAAAGAGGTGTAAAAGGTGGAAGGGGAGGGGAGCTCCCGTCTCAGACAGGTCCTTCCTGTAAGCAGAGTTCATCTATTCATGCTGGAACGAGGAGCGCCTGGTTCGCCCAGAGCTTCGGCAGGATTTGGTTGGTATTAAGTGTGAGGTTTGACTCACTCTGGGTCTCGTTGAAGTTGGTCCCTGGAGTTGGAGCTGGGGTTTGTCCTTCACACACTCATTGTCATTGTTGGTGAGTACTGAGGAAAAAAAGAGGAGCTCATTTAAATGTGTTAGTTCACCCAAAAATGAACATTCTGTCAAAAAGGACATGCTTTGTTTTAAAGATATTGTTTTCAAGAGTTCACACTTAGCTGATGATTGATGATAAAGTGTGTTTGGCATGCTGTCCCAGGAAAGAGTCCTGAGCTCAGAAGATCTGTGAGCCCGGGGCTCCCTCTCGTTTCATTGGGAGAGAGGAGAGTCTGAGCTCAGGTAGGTCTTGAGAGCTCCCCTGAATTCGTTAATTTGGCCTATTCCTAGATTATTAGGGGTTGCCACGGCGGAATGGACCACCAACAGTACCAGCATGTTTATGCGGTGAATGCCAAGTACTAATACACTCATATACTGTGCCAATATCATTCATTCATTTTCTTTTCAGCTTAGTCCCTTTATTAACCAGGGGTCGCCACAGTGGAAAGAATCGCCAAATTATCCAGCGTATGACTTACACAGCGAATGCCCTTCCAGCTGCAACCCATCAATGGGAAACACCCATATACACTCATTAACACACATAAACTAGTCAATTTAGTTTATTCAATTCACTTGTACCACATGTCTTTTTTAAGAATGGCTCATATTTGCTATAACTTTGCATGAGCACATCAAGTGCAGCTGGAGAAAAAAAATGCTGATCTCTTTTTTCAGATGTTGCCATAGTCACTCGTAATATCAGCGCTCCATTGATAATGATAATGCCTTTTTATAGTCGCAGTGTGCGCACTTAACTCTGAGTGGGTCTACTCAAAGTTGATTGACTTAATTTAGATCAGAGAGTTTTTAATCTCTCGATAAGTCAACTCAAAGTTCGTTTAAACTCTGAGTGGGTTGAACCTCCTTACTGAAACAGGCCCCTTGTCTCTGAGGCTGAGCACGCACACACAACAGCATGCAAAATTAACAAAGATGACATTACAGTACATGCTTTTAGTAATGTTCACATGAAACTGGATTTTGCAGAGCAACAAATGTGTACAACTGGAAAGGGGGCGGCATATGATGCAATAATCGTTTTATCTCGATTAACGTGTTTTCATTAGAAGCCAAAATCGAAATTGAAACCGAATTATCGGTTATTTGCACAGCCCTACAAGGATGTATACTCCAGATGCCTGCACACAGCTTCCACTGTTTGAAATAAAGCACAAGCACAGTCAACGTAACCGTCATAGGTGCATTCTTATGAATGTGCACCCTATACTCACACAGAGGTCATTAAATTGTTGAATAATGCTGTTTTTTTATGTGTAGACAAAAGTATTCTCATAAGTTTTTAATATTCTGATCGAACCACTGTTTTGAGAATGTTTGTTTTTTTGTCATTTCTCTGGATTTTGAATGAATCTGGAACCTTGCATGGAGGATGAGGGAGCTCTCAAAATGTAATCTAAAATACCTTAATTTGTATTCTGGACTGGAGCAACATGACGATGAGTTATTATTAACAATACAATTTTTTTTGGGAAACTCTTTAAACCCATTTAAAACCCAGTATTATTATGTAGCATGTTAATGTGTTTGCGCTCACATTTTCATTCTGGAAGGAGTGCAGGAAGCTTCCGCTCAGTTCAGCGTCGTCTCGTGGTGTTCCTGGAGGGTTGCTCAGGCCACTCAGATTATTAGGGGAGTTCTGGGATTGTGAAAAACAAATGGTAAGATGTCATTCGTTGGTATTCTGAAGAATAACGATACTCTAAGTTGAAAATTAAATATTGTTGTCATGTCTGAGAATAAAATGTATATTTTTAAGAATTTTAACAGTATACTGAATGCCATCGTTATTAGGAGCAGATTAAGTTTTAGCAAGACATTAATAACATTTAACAGTCTTAAATAATTTATCTTCAGATAATTTTACCTACTGTACATAAATATAGATTTATTAACAATTCATTGCTTATTAACTACAAAACTGAAAGTTTTACATATATTTGAAACATCTTTGAACAACTTTCCAGTGATTTCAGACTATATACTGCAGTTATCTGCAATTTTAAAAAGGAGAATGTAGAAAACAATTCACAACCATTCAAATGTTTTTGGTTATTGAGGTTTTAAAATGCTTTTATGCACACTAACACAAAACTATTGTAATATTTTACAGATACTGTAAACAGTAAAGCAGTAATGTGAAATATAAAATCTTAAAATGACAATATAAAATTTTATAATATATACAGTATAATATATATATATATATATATATATATATATGAGGAATATTACACGAGTAGCAGTGCGATATGGCTGTATATCGGCACTGGTGGGAGGCAGTCTTAGTGTCCCATTAGTAATGATTTACAGCCATAATCGCACTGCTACTCATGTGATACTGTGTTTATACAACAGCTGTATGAGGAACTACTTTCTTCCACCATTCATTCACATCTGCAGCTGACACCAGAACAGCAGAAACGGCTGCTACTTCACAAACGTCACTTTAGAGCTAGTATTTGAACGATTGTCTAGCGTAATCTCTAAAGTAAGGACAAAATGGGTGATTTTGCGGACATTCTAAGATTATAAGTCTGAACGGCATGAAATGTCATCAGTCTAGAGACATTTCCCAGTATTTTTCTCTTGCAATTGTGATATCACAATAATTAACCCTGAAAGTCAAAGCAGCGCAATCACTACCAGATTCCTGTTGTGTTTGCGATAATGAAAAACGCTAAACACATGCAGGAATTTCTTCTTTCTTTCTTTTTACTGAACTAGTCTGGAGTAACAAAACAGGAGATGCATTAGAAACAAACAGATGGCCATCCAAAAAGGGTTATACAAAGAGTGGCCAACACAAAATACTTGCATTCCTGATATGTGAGTCCCATTCCACACTCAATACACTACAATTATATGGTATAAATATTAAATGGGATATGCAATATTTGTCAAACTGTAGTGAGACTATTGATCTGTTGTTACTATATGTGGACAGAGTAATACAGAAGGGTGAGGAGGAGGCTGTACGAGTGCTGTTATTGCAGAATATGGCACGGCTATCAGCCAATCCGATACAAGAACCAGACAGAACTCTTGTATAAATATATAATATAATATCTACTCTATAAAATACAATATGATTTTCATATCTGCCATTTAACCAATTTAATGCATCAATGATAAATAAAAAATGTTCTATTCGTATTCTGAAAAAAAAAACAACAAAAAAAACACTACAGCGCAATTGTAAAATATTATGGTGGCAATTTCTAAACTGAACTTTTATTGTATAGTGCTTTTGCAGTAAATATTTACAGACACTATTCTACACTGAGATATGATTAGACGTACAGCTCTACTTTTGATTTATTCATTGATCATGATTATTTGTCATCTTTTGTCCAATCCTGCTAATTTCCCATTACTTCAACAGACATAAGAACTATGCAATAGGTTCAACAATACCTTTGTGAGTCCATCGATGTCACCTGAACCTGTGAGGCAAGAATCAAGAATTAAAAACAATACTACACATGATTTTTAATTAGGAGGATAATAATCCCACAGTTTTTGACAATTTCTATAGGGATTAAAATTTTACCTAATGATCCATTCATATGATGTGGCTCCAGTCCTCCCATTGGACCATCTGACCCCGGACCCATAGTAAACTACAGACACGAGGAGACAGAGACAGCATTTACACACAGATTATGAAGCTAAAATGGCATATTAGCACTTCAGGCTAATGTTTAATAAAGGCTAGAGGAACGGAGGAACTCACACTGGATCTGTTTCCTCCTGGTGGCACTGAGTTTATCAATGTGTAGAGGTTTTCACCCGAGTTAGTGGAGTCTGTAAACACAACAGAAGGTTTTTAAACAGTCACCTTGAAAAATTCTGCAAGCCGTTACAAGTAACAAAACACTATTTAATACAGAATGTGCAAGCTAGAGTAAAAAAGGAGACAAGCCATTTACTTGCACTTATGAAATGTGTCATGGGCCAGGTCTGATTTCAATATTTATCCATCATTTTCTCCCTTCTCAGCTGTAGATCATTTCTATTTGCGATCATTGCTGTAGCACCTCTTGCGTGAAGTGTTTATGTTCTCAGGGATTGCCTGTACACTGCTTTGCCCAAGTATCACATCCCTGGCTAGGGGGTTGTAGCATGCAGCAGCCTGCCTTTGTTAGTCTTTGTGCCTAATAAACTGGCCTTATTTTGCACACACCCCTGGTGAATTGTCTGTCCATTACAAAATGGAGGAAGAAACTAATCCATGAGCTTTGTACTGAAGTTCCCGTCGAGCTCTGTCAAAGTCTCATACATCAGTAGTCTTTTCTGATCCTTCCTTTAACAAATGAATGAATCGCCCATTGTAAGCGTGTAGACTGCCAAATCACTCCTTTCCCTCACACTTCCAATAATATCCAGGTAAGCACAGCCTGTTCATGACTCTAGGATCTGTCTTTGCTGCAGTGTTAGTGGGCGGGGCCGCAGGTTGAAATTTCCCTGGATTTGTGCACACAACGATTGGGCGGGGCTTATGTTTCGTAGCCACGTCACGCCGAAACGGCTAGAGACTCTTTATGAAGACGATTCATTCTAACCACTATGAGTCGACTCTTTTTTAGATCCAGGTAATCCACTTTTTCTATTATACTAAAAATCATAGGATGATCAGTTTTCATTGATTCAAGTGCTTGTAAACAGGACATAGAATCTGTGCAAATTAAAAACTAGCGTTGCTGTTCTTTCTATTTGTTCCAGAGCTAAAAACAGACACAAGCTGAACCAATCAGTTAATTGAATGTACATGCTTTTGTCCTCTAAATAATGACTATAAAAATTTGTTTTACCAGTTTTTCTATTCTAATTTAATCTCTGGGTATGGCAGGTGTAGCTTAGCTAAAACATTGAAATGGATTAGAGGCAGGGGTGCCCAAACTTGATTGAGGGCTGTGGGCCGAAGGTAAATATATCAAACTGCATTACAAACTTGCCATGGGTAATTTCCTCATTTATTTAATTATGTTTTAAAAACATTACTTTATTAAGTAATGCGTTATATATTTATTTTTTTACATTGTACAATGAACTTATTACAATGAAAACAAACATTCCCAGACAAATAGAGTTCAATGCTGAAGACACAAGTCAAGCTGTGCCAGCCTTCGCCTTGATTTGCTTGACAGTGTTCGGTAATCTCATTCGCTGACATAAAATTTAAGTTAGATTTTTTTGTAGCTCAACAATAAAACAAACAAACAAAAGGTTACGTTAAATTATAAATGACAATTTCTATTAAAGGCTTACTACGGTGATGTATTGCTGCCACACACATAATTTTTTTCCACTCAGCTTTGTTGTTATCACGAGATCTTTTCTTGTAAAAACGACATTTTTTCTCGTTATAACAAGATTTTTTCTTGTAAAAACGGCATCTTTTCTCGTTATAACGAAATCTTTTCTTGTAAAAACTACATCTTTTCTCTTTATAAAGTCTTTTCTTGTAAAAATGACATCTTTTTCTCATTATAACGGGATCTTTTTTTGTAAAAACGACATCTTTTTTCGTTATAACGAGATATTTTCTAGTAAAAACAACATCTTTTCTCGTTTTAAGGAGATCTTTTCTCGTTAAAACGACATAATTGTGATTAAAATGACACAATTAAGTCGTTATTTCGACATAACTGTGTTAATTTCTGTATGAGCCACAAGATGGCAGAATAAGACAGATCAATGTGCATGCTTAAGTAAAATCTATAATGTTCCAAAATTATGTAGCGTTAATATGGGAATTTACCAGGCATATTCTTTCATATAGGCACTGATGTGTTTACTTGTTCCCGAATCATCTTTTGACATTAAATGCAACCCCTAAATGGCTGTAAAAGGTTGTGAAACACTGTAGGCATTTAATAGTCTTTTTGCAAGACATGATGCTCTATAATTAATTGATTTAGCAATACATAGTTTTGTGTATTGGCAGATATCATAGGAGAAAAGATCTCGTTATAATAAGAAACGACAAAATTTTACGAGGAAAGATCTCGTTATAACCACAGCTGAATGGGAAAAAATATGTGGATGGCAGCAATGCGTCACCATAGCATAACTCTCCGACACTCATTATTCTCCCTTTCTTGTCAGATGGGAGATGGGGCCATATCAAAGGTTATTATGGGCCAAATTTGGCCCACAGACCGTAGTTTGGGCACCTCTAAATTAGACCATTAGTATCTCACTCAAAAAAACAATAATTTTGAGAGTTTGATAATTATGAAAGATTAACTAATTTGTAGTTCTATTGTGTACTACATCTCTGGCAGAGCAGCAAGATTCCTTAAATGTTCCAGAGTGAGTGTGTAGTTCCTAGACATATAAAAGGCTTGGAAAATAGCAACTTTACCTTTTCTGTCGGTCTTGGTACATGTTTAAGAGTCAACTTCAGCAAAGCTAAGTTTGAGGTAGTGAAATTATCAAAACTCTGATGCTACTGGTCTAATCCAATTCAAGAATTTGTGCTAAGCTAAGCTAAAAGTCCTTCTGCCAGACCAAAAGATTGGTTTTTTAATGGATTAAAAAATGGTATCTTTTGGTAAGATAATGGTAAAACTCAACTGTTTAACTCTAAGGAAATTGTAAAAATGAGCCTTTTTCCAAAAAGTGGAGCATATATTACTGAATCGGATTAGACCATTAGCATGCATGTCACTCAAATATATACAGTTGAAGTCAGAACTATTAGCCCCGCTTTGATTTTTTTTTCTTTTTTAAATATTTCCCAAATTATGTTTAACAGAGCAAGGAAATTTTCACAGTATCCCTGATAATATATATTTTTTCTGAAGTCTTATTTGTTTTATTTCAGCTAGAATAAAAGCAGTTATTAATTTTTAAACACCATTTTAAGGACAAAATTATTAGCCCCTTTAAGCTAATTTTTTTTCAGTAGTCTGCAGAACAAACCATTGTTATACAATAACTTGCCTAATTACCCTAACCTACCTAGTTAACCTAATTAACTTAGTTAAGCCTTTAAATGCTTCTTCAATATATGTCACTATAATATATATATATATATATATATATTTATTAAAAAAGATAATTTTGATAATTTTGCTAAGTTTGGCTTTTCTGTAGACACATTATGTACCAAGATAAATGGAAAATGAAAAGCAATGATATTAGGCAGCGCTGTTATCTCAATGTGGACTATTTTCAAGTGCTCCATATCATCATTGCGCCTGCTGCAGACTTGGCATGTTAGCAAAATTCCTTGACAATTTCCAGCCTAGAAAAGAGCAACTTGACATTTTTCATCATTCTCAGGACACAATGTAACTACAGAAGAGTCAAGCTTTAAAAAGGAAACTCTTTTTACAATTTCTTTGGAGCGAGATGCTAATGGTCAAATACAAATTCAATGATTTATGCTCAGATTGATAGAGCTGTGATCAGCCTTTACCTGCTGGACTTGGCATGATAGGTGTTCCTGGAGGACATCCACCACCTCCTGCTCCTCCTGGAGGACCCTGAGAAAACACAACAGCACAAACACTCAAGTCAGATTCTCTCAGGACAGGCGATATTACTAAACCAAATACAAAAAAAACAGCCCCTTACCACATATGTTCCTGGGGATGAAGAGGAATATGAGATCTATGAAGCCAAAAAAGTTATTCATTAACCACGCTTGTCAGAAATCATCCCTCATTTGTAAAATCCCATAAATTTTTTTTGTGTCTTACCGTGTTTCCATTATTAGGATTCGGCCACGGTCTGCCAGCTCCTGCTACCCTGAACAGAAAAATGACAGAACAGCTATTTGTTCACTTTGCTAAAACATCATATATAAATATATATATATATATATATATATATATATACAAAAGTATCGCTGTAACAGCCGAGAGGAAAAGAGAGGGGAGGAATAGTCATGCCAGCAGGTGAAATAAGCCACAGTGAGAGAGAGAGAGAGAGAGAGAGAGAGAGAGAGAGAGAGAGAGAGAGAGAGAGAGAGAGAGAGAGAGAGAGAGAGAGAGAGAGAGAGATGGAGTTCACTTTCATTCCCTCAATCGCGCAGAATAGGGGCTTCAGCTGTAAGTGTTAGTTAAAGACTGTCCAGAAAAAACACACACACGCAGTGAAATTGTGCAAAGTATCTGCGTTTTTAAGTAGTTGGCGCCAGAGCACATATGAGATAAATGACGTCTGTACAGTACATAACCGGTTATGATTATTACTGAACCGATACCGAATTGTCCGCGTCTGCATCGCGGTACACCGAAGAAACAATTAATTTTGACACCCCTCATATATATATATAATTATTATTATTTTTTTTTTTTTTTTTCTCCCCGGTTTACTTGCCTGTGTTGGTTGATTAATGTGATTATTTTTTGCAGGTGTGATGCATTATATTTATTCACTAAATACTTTGTCTCTGAGGAAGTTTAAATTTGGATTTTTAAAAAAATCTTTTTTGTAATTGACCATTCGCTAAGCCATAAAACTAAAATATAACAATCGTGGCTTAGCAACCGTAGCTACATGCAGGAGGTCTGTCAAGCTTTCGAGGGTGTGAAACAAGCTAAACCATTGTGCATATGCATTGTACAAATCTGATACCTGGTATCCTAAAAGTTCGAACAAGGTGGTGAATTTTTTCAAAACCAAAAACCCAAGAGGAGAAATGCCAGCGTGGATCAAGCTCTGCGAGGGGCGCTAAAGGAGCGGAGTTAAGTTGGTTTTGTTTTCGATATTCCTGACATATTCAGTGATAGACGGCAATAACTCCTACACCTTTGACCCTAAAAAGATCTAAACTGTGTTTCCTACAAAAACACAAAGCAGGTTATGTTTCCCAGCTGTCTTTTTCTTTTGTTTTTTTACGCTCAATATTATGAGCACTCAAATTTGTTCTATTGATATGTAGTTTCAAATATTTGTAGCTTGAAACAAATGGGAATAGGATTGCTATTAGTATGACTACTATGGCGAGGGCTTAAACGGAGCAGTGTTCATGATATCGAGTGAAAAAAGGGAAAAAGACGGATGCAAAACGTAACCTGCTTTGTATTTTTGTAGGAAACACAGTTTAGATCTGTTTAGAGTAAGAGGTGTGTGAGTTATTGCCATCGGTCTATCACTAAATGTGAATATCAAAAACAAAACCAACTTAACAGAGCTTGATCCACGCTGGCATTTCTCCTCCTGGGTGGAGGAAAAAAATTCCACCACCCCGTCCGAACTTTTAGAATACTGGGTATCAGATTTGCATAATTCATATGCACAACGCTCGAAAGCTTGATAGAGCCCCTGCACGTAGCTATGATTGCTAAGTCACGATTGGTGGGTGGCGGTTTTTGGATGAGGCTTAGCGAAGGGACAATTCATTTCAATTTGTAAAAACAATTAGGTTACCCTAATCGATTTGTGTTTGACAACATGAAAGTATTAAGTGAAACCCTGCATTTTTAACAGTGTGCATGAAACATGATGTATGAGATATGACACTCAATTAAAAAAATGCAAGCCTATGAATATCACAAACTGAAACCCCACATATTGGATAGACATGCCAAGTCCTTACATGTTTACTCCTGGCATTCCCGGCCCCATAGAGTTTGGAGGCCTCATTCCTCCACCATAGTTCTGTAGTGATAACCATGGGTCAGACTATGATATCCAGAATCCCCAGAGGACACCATGAGAGAGGAGAGAGCAAGAACATAGTTAGTTTACGCACATACACTGACTATTAAAATGCATTGAGATATTCAGACATTCAGCTGTTTTAACTATATTGTCCAGTCCTAGAATTGAGCAAATGTATTTAATAGATTTAGGGAATGGTATTTATATTTTCATGAAAGAAAGATGAAATGAAGTCTTCGGGTAGTATAAGATTCAGACCTGTGGTCCTGGTCCCATTGGGCCCATTCCTCGTGGAGCGTTCATTCTCTGCATGGATGCCAGGTTTGGATGGCCTGAACAAATAATAACACCATTAAAGCGTTTAACAGACAGCTATAAAAAAGACAAAATGTTAAGTGTTGTATTTACAAGTCCTTTCTGTAAATGGACTTAACTCTTCTAAGAAAGCTTCCAAAGATCATGTAATTATGATTGTCATTAATTAAGGCAAGACTGTAATATAAAAGACAATTGAGTTCTGCATCCTGATGCCCATTGCGGTTTACAAATGACCAAAACTGCACTGTACATGATTTATCAGACAAGATATTTCATTTTTATTTCCTTATTATTGCAATTTATTTTCTATTCCACTGGTCTCAGTTGAAAGCAGAACTCAGGAATAACTTGTATCCATCAGGCAGGCAACAATATGTAATAATTAATTATATTATTAATTAATAATAAATAAGTTAATAAATGAAAATAATGGAGCAGAGTTTTTTTTTACTATGCTATAGGTGAATTTAATAAACTAAACTGGCCTTGTATGAGTGTATATATGTGAATGAGAATGTATGGAGGTTTCCTAGTACTGGGTTGCAGGTGGAAGGGCATCCTTTGTGCAAAACATATGCTGAATAAGTTGGTGGTTCTTTCCTCTGTGGCGACTCCTGATAAATAAACGGACTAAGCCGAAGGAAATGGAATGACTGAATTAATAAATCTCACCAAATCAGGTTTAGGTAAAAAGTGGTTTTGTCAATTTGGGTGAGTTGCATGTTTTCAAAACTTCCCAACTATGTTAGGTGGACAGTGCCAAAATTGTGCACATACTGTGTCTTCAAACTGTATTAAAAGATAAACTCAACGTTAACAAACACAGGGTGTTCTGTGCTTCCTTGATTTCTGCAAATGTACATACGTACATGTATGTTACATTTGCAGATTACAGTTGAACTGTTTGTGCACTGCCTACTTGGTCCACAAGGTGTCAACACTGAACAGATCATTGTTTAACAGTTGGAAAAGAAATTGAGGAGCTGGAAAAACAAACAAAGTATAATAACAAACTACTGAAGGTTATAAAAAAAGACAAGGTGTCAGAGTTAACACTTCTCATTTACTTTGAATAGAATTTCATGAAGCATTGCCGAACTGAATTGCGGGTCTACAGAGTCGCTTGAGGCTGAAGTTAAAAAATTTTAAGTGCCAACACAGGCCAATCAGATTTCTTTAAGCAAATACACAAGTTTAGATGTTGGCCAATCACATTCGAATAACAATATGTCAAAATGGAAAAACTTATTATGGCAGAAAAACTTATTATATTCACTCTATGCTAAATGATCAATCTTTATAAATAACAACTATTTCTACAACTACTTCTTCTGTCTTATTTACTTCAAGTTCAGGTTAAAGTGATTGGCTGTTGTCACTATGATGATCAAGTTAATAGAAGGCTTTAGAAAAGCCTTCCGTCAAGCATTAATGCAGAAGCACCTTTTGAACTGGCCTTTATTGATCATAACTTTTAGAGAGAAAAAGTGCAGACAGTGGACAAGGATTGGTCATTCTAGTCTGTGTGTTTCGAGCACACGCTCCACATGTGTTTGAGTGTCTGTCCTCTGTTCAACACACAAGAAAACATGCTGGCCATTGAATTTCATAGTATTTTTTATCCTACTAGAGATGATATTGGCTTTTAGTGTCCAACATCTTTTGTGTTGAACAAAAAGATTTTTTTTTTACTACGCTAAACAATTTGTGCTTTTTGTTGACTGGTGATAGTCCAGCCCATACAGTCATGTTGAAACTCGCAACACTTAAGGAAATTCTTATATATCTCCAAAATATGTTGACTTAAACCTGTTTTAGGGTGCTTTCACACCTACACTTTTGTTTTGGAACGTGTCTCGATTGCCCAGTTAGCGCGGTTCGTTTGGCATATGTGAACAGGACAATCGCGCTCTGTTCCATGCCATAGTAATCGCTCTGAGATCGCTTTAATGAGGTGGTCTCGGCTCGATTGAAACGAACCCTGGAGTGGTTCGATTACAGTGAGAAAGGGATCCGATCCGAGCGCGGTTATATCACAGTGTTTTATGGATATGTAATAGGCATACAGCTATATGAAGAGAGAATTATGAGCATGGCGGGAAGTTTCGCGAGTCTCCGGATGCCCACAAACGAGTGATGATCTCCCGGTAATCTCGCGTCTCCCTCCCGGTCCTCAAATAGGCTACGTCGCGCACCCTTCTCACCCCTCCCCACCGCGTCTCTCCTTAGACACATTGCGTGTGCGCACCCTGTCAATCACCATCAAACCACCACCTCTCCTAACAGCTGAGCGGGACGCTGCAAAATAAACCCTGACACTCTAACCAATGTAAGGAGAGTTTACTTGCACGTGACTTGTTTTAGTTCTTTTGGTCCGATTAGAAACTGTGCAATGTGAAAGCGAAGCGCTCCAAGAGCAAAGAGCAACAATGTAACATTTGTAATCTCTGTTTCGCAACAACTGAATTGATTCACAGGTGTGAAAGCACCCTTAATCTCCCAAAAAGATATAATCTCAGCATTTCTTTCGAAATATATATTCAACATTTCCAGAAAAGATCAATTTATTGTCAATATATATTGCTAAATATTTAAAACCTCCAACACACTCTATTTGATGTCCATCAAGTACTAAAGATTCTAACACTTCATTAGAGTCTTTATTTCTGCCAATTACCATCTCTGTGGTTTTATTAACAATTATCTCCAGTGAACTCACCAGTTTTGAAGCAAAATTATATAGCTATAATGCAATGCAGTGCCACATCATTCACATATTTAAATAAGTTAAAACATAAATCCTGGATCTTACATTCATTTGTATAAAGCAAACAATAGTAAGGGTGATCAAACACTTCTTTCTGGAACTCCTGCATTTACAATAATTGTTTTCGACCTTAAAATCGACAACTACTCTTTGAGGAAGATTTAAAAGGAAGTCTCTAATCCACCAAATAATATCACCATTCACCCCTAAATCTAATAATACTTGCAAAAAAAAAAAAAATCACAATTATTCAAATCTAATTAAACTTTACAGTGTTATAGGGATAGTTAACCCAAAATAACTTTATTTACTCGCCTTCAAGTGGTTCCAAACCTCTTTTTTCTTCTGTTAAAAACAAAACAAGATATTTTGAAGAAAGCTAAAAAAAAAACCTTTAAGCATTGAAAAACAAATACTATGGAAATCAATGATTACAGGTTTCCAGCTTTCTTCAAAATATCTTCTTTTGTGTTTAACAGAAGAAATAAACTAATAAAGGTTTGAAACAAGTAAAGAGTGATTAAATGTTTTTCATTTTTGGGTGAACTAGCCCATACATTTAGCTTTAAATCTCTCACCTGTTGGTCTTGTAGGGTCCATCATATTTGGAGGTAAAGGCTGTCCACCTGGAGGCTAAAGAAACAAAGAGGTTAGGTGTTAAATAAGTCCTAGTTTATTAGCACTGTTGTTTAAACCATTTCAATCTGCATTACCGGGTTACCCATTCTCATGGGCGGTCGAGGTCCTCCAGCATAGCGAGGTGACATAAATGGCTGCAAATGGAAACACAGTGACTTAAAAAAACACAATGCAACATCCACTTCCCTGGCTAATACATTTAAAATAAAATAAAATTGGTAACACTTTACTTGAAAGGTGTTCATAAGACTGTAATCAAACCTTTATAACGATGACATGACACATCTCATGACTTTATGTGTGCTTATAACAACTGTGTAAAAACTTATAACAACTCAGTTATGACATCTTGAATGCAGTACAGTGCAAGTGCAAGTTTTTACAGTATGATAACTTGACATTACCAAGACAACAAAACTTGTCATAAATCGGTCATAAACATGATTGTCATAAGCCATTATAAATATGACATCAATTTTATAACAGTGCCATACTTGTTTTCCTAAACTACAGTCATACAAGCTGAATTTGTCGTTAAAATGTCATTAAGTTGGCATCGATGGTGTAGTGGTTAGTGTGTCGACACATGCACTCTGGTGCTCAAGGCGACCTGAGTTCGATTCCCGCCTCAAGGTCCTATGACAATCCTTCTCCTCTCTCTGCTCCTTATACTTTCCTGTCTATACTCTCTACTGTCCTATCTGTTAGAGGTGAAAACCTCCAAAAATATAATTATAAAAAAAATGTCATTAAATATTATTGATGCTGAAAATGATTTGACGGAGTAATAACACTTTAAAATTTATTGTTAAATACAGTTTGTTTCACTGAAAACGTGATCAGAAAAGTCATGATGACACAATCATAAAAGCCTCATGACAATGATGATTATGACAGATTTATGTTAATTTACTAAGTTATGTTGTTTGTCATGACAAAAATGAAAACTGGTTGTGATATACACTCACTGACCACTTTATTAAGTACACCTGTATAACTGCTCATTAACGCAAATTTCTAATCAGCCAATCGCATGGCAGCAACTCAATGCATTTATGCATGTAGACATGGACAAGACGATCTGCTGCAGTACAAACCGAGCATTAGAATGGGGAAGAAAGATGATTTAAGTGACTTTGAATGTGTCATGGTTGTTGGTGCCAGACCGACTGGTCTGAGTATTTCAGAAACTGCTGATCTCCTGGGATTTTTACGTGCCACTATCTTTGGGGTTTAAAGAGAATGGTCAGAAAAAGAGAAAATATCCAGTGAGTGGCAGTTCTGTGGGTGCAAATGCCTTGTTGATGCTAGAGGTCAGAGGAGAATGGCCAGACTGGTTCGAGCTGATAGAAAGGCAACAGTAACTCAAATGACCACTCCTCACAATCGAGGTATGCAGAAGAGCATCTCTGAACACACAACATGTCGAACCTTGAGGCAGATGGGCTACAGCAGCAGAGGACCACACCGGGTGCAACTCCTGTCAGCGAAGTACAGGAAACAGAAGCTACAATTTGCACAGGCTCACCAAAATTAGATGATTGGAAAAACGTTCCCTGGTCTGATGAGTCTCAATTTCTGCTGCGACGGTAGCGTCAGAACTTGGCATCAACAACATGAAAGCATGGATCCATCCTGACTTGTATCAATGGGTCAGGCTGGTAGTGGTGGTGTAATGGTGTTGAGGGATATTTTTTTGGCACACTTTGAGTCCATAAGTACCAATTGAGCATCGTGTCAACACCACATTAAACCCGAGTATTGTTGCTGATCATGTCCATCCCTTTCTGACCACAGTGTACCTATCTTCTGATGGCTACTTCCAGCAGTAAGGTGCACCATAAAGCGCAAATCATCTCATACTGGTTTCTTGAACATAACAATGAGTTCACTGTACTCAAATGGCCTCCACAGTCACCAGTTCTCAATCCAATAGAGCACCTTTGGGATGTGGTGGTGCAGGAGATTGGCATTATAGATGTGCCGTCGTCAAATTTGCAGCAACTACGTGATGCTATCTTGTCAATATGGACCAAAATCTCAGGGGATCATTTCCAGTACCTTGTTGAATCTATGCCATGAAGGATTAAGGCAGTTCTGAAGGCAAAAAGGGGGTCCAATTCAGTACTAGTAAAGTGTACCTCATAAAGTGGCCAGTGAGTGTATTCATGTCAAGTTGTCAAAACAAAAAATAACTGAGCAAACAACAATTAATGACTGTTGTCATAAGTTTCATGACAGTCATATGAACACCCTATTCAGGTACAGTAAAGTGTTACCAAACATTTTATAAATAATATTTTTAAATAATCAATAGCTTTATAGCAATAAAAAGGCATCAGCAACAATAAATAATACATAAAATAAGACTTTATTTTGATGGTCCATTTGAGTATTAGTAGACTGTCTGCTTAATATCTGCTGATACTGCTCCTTTAACAGACATTTAACTGACTATAAGAAACTTTGCAAGTACATGTCAACTTACACTAACCCAAACCTCAACCTAACAGTCTACTAACAATCTAATGAGAATTAGTTGGCAACTTAACTTAAATTCAACAAATGGACAATCAAAATAAAGTGTGAGCTAATTCTATCATTTCACAATAAAAAAATAATTATTTTAAAGTCTCTCCAGATAAAAATCACATTAAAAAAAGGGCATTGCCAAATTATATGTTTCAAAGTCAGGATAAAGGGAATGGGGAATATTACAGCAAAAGCATACAGACGTGTGCAGGTGACATGCAGAGCTGCTGTCAGCATAGAGAACGTGAGTAGAACTTGTGTGCTGTTACCTGTCCGTGCGCGGCCATCATGTTAGCGTTTGGAGGGAGCTGAGCGTGAGGGGAGGGTTGGGAACCAGGGGGTCCCTGCTGAGGGAAGGGAGGAAGAGCAAGTTGCCATAGTACCAGCAGCCAAATGCCAAGAGAAAGACAGAGCAAAGTCAAAGACAGGACAGGTGAAAGCGACAGGTGCAGATGAAGAGAACAGAGCCAAGGCCAAAATCTGCTTGATTTGGGTTTGATGAGCAGCTCTGACTGAAACCGTTGGTTTTGTTTTAAGATGCAGCTTTTAGATTGGACATCAAGTGTTTGAATTATAACATTTTAGATTATGCTTATTGTAAAGCCAATGATTACAGCATGTTATTAACTGTATTTAATGCTGTTCAATTCAATTCAGCTTTATTTGTATAGCGCTTTTACAATGTAGATTGTGTCAAAGCAGCTTCACATAAATGGTCATAGTAACTGGAACAGTGTGGTTCAGGTTTTAGTGTTTAAGTTCAGTTCAGTTCAGTTTAGCTCAGTTCAGTGTGATTTAATCATTACTGGGAGCTTATTTGGGCACTCAGCTTTTGGCATGGATGACATTTAAGGTATTTCTATTGGCAGAATTTCCCTTCAACCATTATGCTGTATACTGTATGCACAATAACGACTGAATTTAGCTTTCCACATTTTGCTGTTTTCCAAGTTTTAAAAGCAATTAAACCTTTAAACCTTAAGTCGTTTAAAAGTATATTTAAATCTTGAATATACATTAAAGCGAACATTAAAAAATACAATTGTTTTGGATTCTGTATGGTTGACTAACATTCAAGATGTTGATCAATTGAGTATGAACTCCTTAAAAGGAACAGTTGAAAATTTGCTCACGCCCAGTCAGTGTTGCCAACTATTTCCGATAAAAAGTAGCTAAAGCCTGCCTGAAAAGTAGCTAAATGTTGCCAGATGACGCCACGCACTAATTTGCTTATTAGTGACATTATCATGTAGTATCTGACAATCGTAAGCCTGTCATGTCTCTACTCTGAGGCGCCGTGTATTATATTATATTAAAACATTACATCCAGATGCACAAAAAATAGGTTCTTATTAACATATTACTTTGCGTAATGATGTCATTACATACTCGCAACCCAAAACTACATCGTTATGTAGTATACAAAATAATAAATGTTTTCTCAAATTGACTGGCCATCTCAGCAAAAACATTATTTGATATATGTCCATTCAGATTTGTATGGAAAATAGAGTTGACTATTTGTAAAAGTAATACAAACACTTTAAGATTTATTTATTTTTTTTTAAATATAACATTGATAATTACCAGTTACATTCGTTAAAACAATCACAGCTGGTGTACTTACTCTTTTTAACCAGTTAAACTCTGCTGTTATTTTGTGGTTTCCACCAGGATTTTGCCTACCCAAATTTAAAAGCTTCCCAAATCCACATGCAGAGGTGTAAATGCAAAAATTTGGTATCATTTTAAAGAAAACCCTTTGAATTTTTATAAAACACTATTGAAAGTGTTTATAATATCTGTAAATGTTGTCTGTGTTAAAAAAAACACCTAAAAAAGAGGCAATTGTTGTATTTTCTTTTTATAAACTCAAATTTGAAAGTGTACCCTTTAGGTTCTTTGTGGTCTAGCTTGCTGTAATTAATTTGGGTGGTTCCTGCACATGTCTGCAATCATAGGAAAAAAAGAAAAAGGTCTCTACCATAATCTATGCAAAAGTTATTGTTTTCTAACTGCTATACAAGCCACAGGGACTGATCATTGTGTTTATATTTCACTATTCTTTTGTTTGATCAAACATAATTTACTGTGTTTGGACAACATCAGACATATAATAGGATTACTTATGCACATCACCTCAAAAACACAGGAGGAATGGCCCTGAAACGCACAGCATAAGGAAAGAGATGACCGCTGTCTGCTATCTGGGGCTGCTTATTGATCATAAATGTATTGTTTTCATTCCTGCGCTATGGAAACACAGCAATTCATTCGGCAACTGTTTGATATGTGAATATAATTCAGTAAAGCAATGCTAGGACCATATGAGCACAGGCAAGAGCTTTCATTTGAGCTATAACTTGTACATGTGTCATATATCAATACTGTGTATTTAAGTGTAAATAACTTTTGTACAGTAGAATAAAAACCAAAGTGATGCATATGTGCATAAAATATAGATTCTACACTTTCAAATGAAACAACTTAAGGGGGTCTGGTGCAATGCTAGCCATTTTAATCTTAAAGCGAAAGTTGATGACGCGCGGAGTTTAACTGGTTAACTTGTGAAATTAACACAATTGTGAAAGTGACAACAATTATAGCACTATTGGAATTTATTGCTACCTAAATTAAAACAATTTAATGTTAACAAATATATTAGTAAATTAACAGTTATGAAAAACAATCTGAGCAAGCAATTTACTCTACTGAGGGAAGCCTGCAGTCACGGCTTTTTTGAGTCACTTTTTAAAAACTGCTAAAAGTAGCCAAATGAATGTTAAAAATTGCTAAATTTGTTGCTACAGTAGGTGCTTTTTGAAAAAACATGTTGCTAGGGTAGTATGAAAAGTTGCAAAATCTAGCAAAAAAATTGCTAAGTAGGCAACACTGCGCCTAGTGGGTTCTAAACCTTTATGAGTTTCCCTTTTTCTGATGAACACAAAATAAAATACTTCGAAAATTGTTAGAAACCTCTAACCCTTGACTTCCATAGTAGGCTGGTACAAAATGCGACTGCTAGTATGAGTCATCTGCACTTCATTGGTTACCCATTTAATACAGATTTTTTTTTTCTTGTTGCCTCACAGCAAGAAGGTCGCTGGTTCGAGCCTCGGCTGGGTTAAAGACATGCACTATAGGTAAATTGGGTAAGATAAATGTCCGTGGTGTATGTGTGTGCAGCTGGAAGGGCATCCGCTAAACTATGCTGGATAAATTGGCGGTTCATTCGGCTGTGGCAACCTCTGATTAATTCATCAATCAAGGGATTAAGTCGAAAAGAAAATGAATGAATGAATGAATGAATATTATAATTTGTATACAAAGCAGTTAATAATCTTGCGCCTCAGTACCTTACAGACTTTAGTCAAAGTCCCTTAAAAATGAGGTGATCAAGCGTTTGCAGTTGCTGGTCCTAAACTCTGGAACACTCTAGCAATTCACACTAGACTTTCCCCCTTCATTTCTGTGTTTAAATCCATTTTGAAGACTTATCTATTTTTCCCGCTTTTAATACTCCTTGATCACTGTTTAATTGCTTTCATTTGTTAAATGTTTCTTTTATATTCGGTTTTCTTCTCAGTCTTTAGTACTCCTATGTACAGCACTTTAGTCACCTTAAAAACAATCAATGTGCTTTAGAAATAAATATTGTATTGAAAAACTACTTCTTTGGAAGTCAATGATTACAGGTCTCCAACTTTCTTCAAATTATTTTAGTTTGTTTTTAATAGAAGAAAAAAACTCTTAAAAGTTTGTATGTGCAATAAAATGATCAAACTACTTCTTTAAAATGAGCCGAGACAACACAATTCTTGAGTTTTTGGGACAACTTAGGTGAGAGCGTGGCACAAAGTAACACTTTTTGGTTTTGGCCAAATAATTAACAAAGTAACAGGGTTAGACAAACCATATTTTTTTACCAATAACACAAAGCCTCTCCTACAAATGAGCACTGAAAGTTTGATCGTCGGACCTATGCTTTCTGTGCATTATTGCCAATGGCCCAGGAGTAAAAATGTTACTATTTTCCCCATCTGTGGGGCAACTTAAAAGTCAGATTTCACACAAATAATTTAAACTCAGTTTAATTTAAATGGAATATTTCCTCAGTACTTAACATAGCATTTTAGTCTACATAGCACAGCATGTTTATTTATTTATTGGATAAAGATGTTTCATTTTATTTGCATTATTATATATTTATTTGCATTATTAGAAATACAATTATTTTTTTCTATTCAGAAATATTTTCTGTTAAAATTTTTTTTTATATAAAAAGTTCTCAACATTACACTCAAAATTCAGCATTTAGTTTATCTGGTGTCCAATCGCGTGTGGCTTCTTTGTAACACTCTGTTACAAATAACACAGCTGTCGTGTTTTCTTCTAAACTGGCTAGCAGACACTGTGTATTTTACATCTTTCAGTTCTATCTTTTAGCCTAGAGGGCGGTAATCACAACAATATAAGATTTTACGTACATATTTTCACAGATTATTAAAAAATAAAAGCATTAACTATAGTAATAAAAAAATACTTTTAGGCTGCAAAAATGGTTTGTCCAGTGTTTCTCATCTAAATTTTGCTAAACCTCTTCAATAGCTGGCAGGAAGACGTCTGCCGACAGTGTGGTGAAAACCTCGGAAGCAAGCCATGGTTAACCCTGAGCAAATACCTTAAACACTGTGTTACATTTTGCCCCATGGTCCCCTAATAGTTTTATGTTTAATTCACTTAAATTTTTAAAAACAATTAAGGTTAACTTAATTCATTTGTGTTGGGACAACATGAAGGAATTGTGTGAAACCCAGCATTTTTAAAATTGTAACAAGGGTGAGTAAATTATGACAAAATCTTTAGTTTTGGTTGAACTATCCCTTTAATGCAGTGATAAAAAAATGACATGAAAGTTTCACAGAGGACCTTTTTTTAATGATTAAGTAGAGAAAAATCTTAATGTACAGATGGTCATCTGTATCACCAATAGAGGGCAACAGGGTTTAAGGAAGCATTGTCCAAATGACCGCAAAGCCACAAATGTTTCAGGTTTTCCTTCATATCCACATGTTTTCAAGACTCGCATAGACCAGTTTCATATTCTCTGGCACTCGGTATCTGAGAATCTGTGCTTTGCAGCATTCCCGCAAAAGCCCTCAGAGGGTCACGACTCCATCTGGCCTGAAAAAGGCTCGTCTCTGAAATGCTTCCTTCCATAAGGTCACTACAAACAATCCTTTCGTCCTTAAACCTTTTCCAAGAACTTATTCAGATATTTTGATGAGTCATTCTCTCAGAAAACTCCCGAGTGATAAAGTGTTAACTCTGCTGCTGAAGGTGCATCACTGACGCATTTAGCGCAGCTCAGCGGGACAACGAGAGGGAGAGGAAAACGCGAATAACCCTGCCTGCCATTAGTGGCTAATGGTCGCAATCAGAGCAGTTCCCTGCAGACGCCAGGTTTGGCAGATGACCAGAGAGTGTGGCATAATGGTTCCTCTGTGAACTAGTGGCACGTGTCTGTGCACCTGAGGATTGCTGGTTAGATGTTGGTTTGTGGAGAAGGGGTTAAAGGGGTTGGGTAGGAGTGGTGACCCACCTGAAAGAATCCGGGAGGTATAGGGCCGCCTGGCATCCCATCACCGGGGGGCAAGTTGCCCAGTACTGGACTTGGTGCTGCAGCTGCGCTCTGAAATCAGAGAAAGAAGATACATATGAACAAAAAGTAGACCACTGCTGAAAAGATTTGGGAAAGACTTAAGATGCACTTCATTTGAATTTAAAGTGACAGTACAGACATTTATAATGTTACTAATTTTGATCTTTCCTCTGGCAATTTCTGATGTTGGAAAGTTCAACATACTACCTTTTACTGATATTTTTACATTGCAAAAAATTTTTTTTTTTTACTAAGAGATTTGTCTTGTTTATAGTCCAAATATCTACAAATTCTAGACAACAAAATATTGTTTTGTTTTTAGAAATAATTAGTCAAACTTAAGTGAGTTTTTCTTTAAACAAGCAAAACAATCTGCCCATGACATAATCTTGTTTTCGCTTTGAAATAAGTATATATTGCTTACCCCATTGGCAGATTAATTAGCTTATTTTAAGGGAGTAAGTTGGAAAAAGTTAACTAAGGCTGCAATTATTTGGGCAAAAAAAAATATATATATATATAAATGGTCTTAAAATATTATTTTGATTTTAACTTAATTGTTTTTCATGTTTAAAATAGTATTTACTCTTGTGTTTAAAGCTTTTGTCATGTTACTTCAATGTCTCAGAGTCATTCAGGAATTATTAAATGCTGGATTATTCATTCATCATTCATTTATTCATTTTCTTTTCGGCGTAGTCCCTTTATTATTCCTGGGTCGCCACAGCGGAATGAACCGCCAACTTATCCAGCATTTGTTTTACGCAGCGGATGACCTTCCAGTTTCAACCCATCTCTGGGAAACATCCATACACACTCATTCACACTCATACACTACGGACAATTAAGCCTAGCCAATTCACCTATAGCGCATGTCTTTGGACTATGGGGGAAACCGGAGCAACCGGAGGAAACCCACACGAACACAGGGAGAACATGCAAACTCCACACATTAACGCTAACTGACCCAGCCAGCGACCTTCTTGCTGTGAGGCGACAGCACTATACCTAATGCGCCACTGCATTACCTAAATGCTGGATTAATGCACAAGAAAGTTTTTATTAAGTTTTTATTTTAATAAAAATTTTGCAAACACATTTTATACCCTTTTAAATATAAATATATTTTGTGCATGGTGTATAAGTGCACATACAGTGCTCAGCATAACTGAGTACACCCCGTTTTAAAAATGAATATTTCTCAGTGAATATAGGCAATGTATTTTGGTGCACTTAAACAAAACAGATTTATTAAACAGATTTATCTATGAAAATAAATAATATTTTGGTCACCAAACATATTTAGAAATTGAAAGATAATACATTTAAATTCAAGCAAAATATTGAAAAAAGTAAACCTACACAAACCTACAGCCTACAAAATTTCAACTAAATTTTTTACTTCTCTTAATTTTTCCTCTTTTTAAATTTGTTTTTAATATTTTTCTGTAACATATAATTTTGGGTGTACTAGTTTTTGGACCATTATCGTAAGTTATTTTGTTAGATAAGCTCCAGATTTGGCTTCAGTACTGACTAATCTAATGTATATGCACAAGTATAATATTGTAGAGCTTTTTATTAATAATATTAATTTAAAAGAGAGATCTGTGAGGCGTGTATTTATATATGCTGTGCACTGTATATTGTTTACCCAGAGTGTTTACGTGGTCATACAGGAAGCAATACAACAAACATTTAGTTTGGGCTGGCTTTTGCTTTACAATGCCCTTGATGGGGGAGTGGGGGAGTGTCTATTGTCTCTTAAGGTGTGAATTATCCACGACCATGGTCACTCACACACAGAGCTGGGAACACCCAAAACAAACTTGACAAAATGTAAATCATTGTAATGTTTTCTTTGAATGATAGCATTTTTTTGTATTACATAATTAAAGTAAAGTAAATATTCTAGCCTACAAGACTGGTTACTCAAAAGTCTTGTTCAGGCCCATTCAGTGTGATTTAAAAAAAAAAAAATTATTTCAGCTGCATTTTTTTCTCCAAAACCTACTAACCACGCATACTTTTTTTTTCTAAAAAAATGCAAGTATGTACATTAATATTTCTCTCATATTACTGTAGCACAATTTTTGCTAAATACAAAAGAAATACATGTTGGCCAATACTATGTAATATATAGCTGAAATAAGCACAAATGTCAGGGCATTTCAAAACATCTAATGGGGCCCCAAAATCACCTTACACCCCTGAGGGTTAAGTTAACAACACTTTGGCTTATTATTCAACAAAGTCTAGTCTAGAAAATGGCTGTTTTTTAAACTCTTGGTTTAGTGTTTTGGTCTTGTTTCTAGTCCAAATATCTCTAAATTCTAAAATTAAGAAGCACTTTCTACACAATGCTTATTGATTTAAGACTTTTTAGATATCTGGACTAGATACAAGACCAAAACACTAAGTAAGAAAAGCATTTCTTGCCATATAGTTAGTCATGTAAATCAGGGGTTCCCAAAATTTTCAGCCTGTGGCTCCCAAAATCTCAAAGCCAGTGACTCACAAGTCGCAACCCCCACATTTCTTGGAGGTAGTTATAAATATACAAACATTATGCACATAACAATAGGCCTATGTAAACAAGAGCACATTGACAACACAAAAAAAGTGCAACAGTCTAACAATCATTTAATTTTATAGTCATTTTTTTATTTGTTTAATTTAATATTAACCTCACCTAAAGAGACTGGTGGACATAATGTTTTCAGCACAAGTCTGTTTTTATCTTATTTTTGAAGACCCACATTGATAAATATTGTTATGATAGCTGTTTTGACATTAAGTTATGATTGAATTGCCTCTTGTTACAGTTATGAAATAGTTCAATAACAAGCAGGAAATGTTCATGGGCAATGAAAGGACCACACTGAAATGTTCTATACTGACAAATTTTGGGAAAAAAGCAGCCATTGACTTCCAGACTATTTTTTTGTTCCTATAATTGGAGTCATCGGCTGCTTTTTTCAACATTCTTCAGAATATCTTTTCTGATACTGTTCGTTTCTGTTCAACTGAAGAAAAGAAATCATAAAATTTTAGAACCACTTGAGTGTGAGTATACGTTTTATTCATTTGATTTGTTTATTTATCAGGAGCAGTGTACATTAATGGTACCTCAAAAGTACTTTTTAGGTACATGTGGGTACTAATATATACTCAATTATATATTTCAACTAAACCTGACGAGAAGTCTGAACTATCTAAACTAACTGAGTGTATCAAAGACATTAAAAACTGATGAACAACAATTTTCTTCTCTTAAACTCAGACAAAACAGAATTATTACTTATTGGGCCTAAATCTTGTACACAGCAGATCTCGCAACTCAATTTACAATTAAAGGGATACAAAGTTAGCGTTAGCTCTACTATAAAAGATCTGGGTATCATATTAGACAGCAATCTAACTTTTGAAAACCATATATCCCATGTCACAAAAACATGGGATATTAACAAACTTCAATTAGTACAAAATACAGCAGCCAGAGTTCTTACCAGGTCTAGAAAATATGATCATATCACCCCAATTTTATCCTCCTTACACTGGCTGCCTGTTAAGTTTCGTATTGAATTTAAAATATTACTTCTCACCTATAAAGCTCTAAATAACCCAGCTCCTGTTTATCTAACCAACCTTCTGTCTCGCTACAATCCAACTCGCTCTTTAAGATCTCAAAACTCAGGGCTTCTGGTAGTACCTACTAGAAAAGAAAAATCAAGTAAAGGAGGTCGAGCCTTCTCCTTTATGGTTCCTACACTCTGGAATAGCCTTCCTGATAACGTCCGAGGCTCAGACACACTCTCCCAGTTCAAAACTAAATTAAAGACCTATCTGTTTAGTAAAGCATACACTCAATGCATCACCTAGCGGGTTCCAAGCAGGCTTCTGCATCTTGCTTATATACAGTATGAACAGCAGCTACGCTAATTATTCTCATTATTCTCTATTTTCACCTGGGGATACTCATCCCGAGGTCCTCAGATTATGCAGAGTCACTGATTGGATCCAAAACCAGCGACGAGATAATCCCAAGGTTTCCATATCCGGGACCAGGCCATATCCTGAGGTGCTGCTGCGCTGATGGTCATGGGGAGTGGAGAACAAGAGTCTGATTCCAGCGACGCTCCAGGGACAGACGAGTCTTCGCTGAGGCCAGCTTCCAGCCTCCACCGCGGTGACTGAAGCTCTGCACAAGACTTTTGGCCAGCGGAGAAATTAAAATGGTCGTGCCCAACTGAGTCTGGTTCTCTCAAGGTTTTTTTTCTTCACTCCTATCAGGTGAAGTTTTTTTTCCCTCTCCGCTGTCGCCACTGGCTCGCATGGTTCAGGATTGGTAGAGCTACGCATCGATGAATTTGCTCTTCAGTGTTTGAACTCTCAGTAATGATTTTAAATCACACTGAACTGAGCTAAGCTGAACTGAACTGAACTTAAACGCTAAAAACTGAACTACCCTGATCCAGTTACTATGACCATTTATGTGAAGCTGCTTTGACACAATCTGCATTGTAAAAGCGCTATACAAATAAAGTTGAATTGAATTGAATTAATATGCACCTCTAAGGTAACCCTGTGGACTATTTGGGTACAAATATGTATCTTTTAAAAAGGTACTGCCCCAGCGACAGCTCCTGTACCTTTATTTTTAAGAGTGTAGATCTTAATAATCAAATGTATATAAACAAAATGAATTAAAAACACCAACATTATGTAATGGAGATAAAAATAAACTAAAAAAATATTTCACATCAGTGCCGGTGTGGTGAGAAATCGGGTCCCCCCTGCAATCGAGTCCGCTTAGGACCCCAATGGATAGTCTGCGTTGAATGCCTGATCAAAAACTATTGTACTTCTCCACATTACAATCATATTTGGTGCTTTTTATAGTCTATTCTCAGTCTTGACATTTTAACAGCACTAACAATATCAGTAACATTATCGGTAAGTGCAGGTTAAAGATATGCATAGTTAAAATAATTGAAACGTTTGTAAACATTAAATGATGTCTTTTTAAT